CAGAAGAAGTGCTGTTAAAAGTGGCTCTGCTAAGTACTTGATATGAACCTTAGCTTTAAATCTAGACCATTGTTGTTTTTCTATGCAAATGAATGACAACTTCAATAACAAACAGAAAATAGTTAATGCAAGAAACATGAAACTTAAGAGTTAAGTGACATTTTATGTTTAGGAAAAAAATTTGGATATGTCAAGGTTTCATAATTGGTTATGAGCCTTTCTATTGACCAAATAAAAAAAATAAACAAAAAACACACTTCACTTTGATCTTATGAAAAATCTGCAAAAGAATTAACTGCATTATTAAAAGACAATTCATCTAAAACAAATTTCTCTCATATTCTTCAAAAAATTTTATACTTTATCTGACAAGACGAGATACCAACATTCGACGTACACTTATTAGACATTAAGAATTCTCGCTCATCATTCGTAGATTTTGGGTTATTTATATTTAACATCATTTCAACATCAGGGTTTTTTTTTATAAAGGTTTGTAACTTTTTTTGAAACAGATTTAAATATTTAGGGTGAGGTCTTCATTTTTAGTATACAGGGAGCTTAGGTACTCATCATCTGTAGGAACTTGGACAACTGAAGATAGGGAACAAAATTAACATTCTGTGTAACTAATGCTAATTTTGTGTTTAGGCATGAATCTAATTCTCTCTGTACTAGTGTTAGTCATCTTTATTTTGATAATGCTCCCTAAAAATCATACCTTTTGATAGCAAAATTAAAGAGTGACAGATTAAGCCAATCTTCTGTTCAATAAAAAAGCTGGACAATGTCTGTTGACTAAGATTGCTTCAAGCACCCTCTTCAATGGTTCCACTACTGAAATTCTATTTTTTTTCAGTAAAAAAAAAAAAAAAAAAAAAAAGCGGGGGGGGTGCTCGTGAAAGTGCATAAACATAAATGCAATTCCTTTATTTGGATTATTTCATTTTGTCAGAACAAATTTCAACAAAGTGGAAAGGTTCCCAGTATTGCTAAAGAGGCTGATAGAAAAAAAGAGGTTGAGGGAGATGCTGTGCAGGGCTCAAGAAATATAATGTATAATACAGATGCAGAAACCACAATAAAACATTGGGTACTATACAAAGAAAACCAGATCATTTTCAACTCCAGTTTAAAAAAAAAAAAAAAATAAAATAATAATAATAGTCCTAATGTTATTTCTTTATCCTTATGCTGATTTTTCAGCACCCCCAAATACCTTTGAGCAAAAGTCTAGATCACTTCCTCCAGAAGAGGATTTGCAAACATGCATCCTACAATTGAACAGAATTGAACACATTTTGGTATACAAATCTTTCTCTGCCTGACTCTCCCCAATATCAATCAATCAATCAATCAATCATTTACTAACAAGATAAAAGAAAAGACAATCTATCAAGCAATCAAATTACGACAATCATTCATATGAATGAAGACAAATTAATTTAAGACTTAATTGCAGTTTAAACAACACAAAAACATATTGCGCATTTCTGATAGATGTAATGGCTTATTGCATATTTACAAGCATACACACACACACACACACACACACATCTGCTGGAGAGGCTAGCCTGAGAGAGAGAAAAAAATGCATATTCTGGTGTGATCAAATTTTACCCACAAACCTTGTCATGTGGTTTTTCATTTCATTCATTCATTTTCTACAGCTTAATCCATTGCAGGTTATTTAAAGCCAGAAAATTTTTAGATTGTAAGAATTTTTTTTTTTGAAAGTAATAATGGTTTAGTGATACAAGTCTTATTAATTAACTCATAGCTGGGAGGAGGTGAATTCATATCTTTCCCAAAGGTATTTCCACATAAGTGACTATAACAAACCCAACCTGAATTGGAACTCAACTCTCTAACAATTCCAAGCCATTATTCATTACACCACCTGCACATCCAAGCATACAGTACATGGTATTTCCAAGTGGTCATCCATCTAGGTACAGAGTAGACTCAATCAACATTGCTTAACTTCAGTGACCATACAGAAACAGATATTCCCTCCACCTAATTTCACTGACAAGGCTTGGCTGAAACTGTAGTATGGCTTTCAGGCACTTCTCAACAGAGCCACACTTTGAAATCATCTGTCTGCCCTGATATTATCGTGAAGTCATTTCTTTGACAAATTGGTAAGATTCAAATCTGGGTTTTGTGGGTGGAATGCTATCATTATAACCATGTTGGCACGCATCCTCATGATAGTCTGGGTGAGCACGTGTGTGTGTGTGAGTGTGAATGTGTGTGTGTACGCCACTCTGGTGAGCAGATTTAATTACAATCTGATTTGTTCAACAGACTGAGCAAGTCCAGAATGCTTAAACTCACCTCAGTCACAATGACTTGTGACTTTATGCATCTACATCAACAGCTGAAGAGTTCTGTCTGCCCAATTTGACAAGTTTTCAGGTACTAGCATCATCTCCCCACACTGATAGCACCAAAAACTTACCTCCATGACAAATCTACTATTGCAAGTTTGAACCCAAATCTCATAATTAGAAAGCGAACATTCTAACTACTCAGCCATACACACACACATATATATATATATATATATATATATATATTTAATAAACAATAAAATCCCAAATCACCTCATATGGGGAATAGCCTATTTCAGCAGACAAAGATATCAGTGGTCTGTCTTATCAATCTCTGTGTGAACTTAGTTTGTGTCAGAAATAGAAATTTAACTGAAATTTCTGACATGAACTCAGTTCACACCAGGGTTGATAAGACAGACAACAGATATCTTTGTCTGCCAAAATAGGCTAGTGCCTATATGAGGTGATTTTTGATTTTATTGTTTATTAATTATTGATCACTATTATTTTCACTAACCTGCATGATGGCTACAAATTGAGCAGCATTTTCCATTTGCTCATTGTTCTGATTGTTAACGGCAGCTAGGAGAGAGCCCTTGAAGTAATAGCGCCAGTTGTTCAAGAAAAATTCAAACAACAATTTGTACAGCATGCCTTTGATGTCAGGAGATGGTCTCTGAAAAAGAAACATTTTTCACTGTTTATTATTAATTTGCACTTTTTTTTTAAACTACTACAACAGCATTTCTGGACCACATTATAAAGAACAGCAAATTTACAAAAACAAGATCCAAGTTATCCAATCAGGGAAGACTTGATAAAAAAAATATACTAATCTTAGTTGGGCTATGATTGGATAAGATTCTTAGTAAACCTGTCTGATAAGATTCTAATCTTACCTGGGCTATGATTGGATAAATCTGGTCCATACAAATGGAAATAATACTTGGAAGGAAGGCTTTGAAAGCTGAGCCGGGTTCTTGCACAATTAGTTCGAGTATTCGCAGAAACCTAAAAAAATAAAAAAAAAATTGATATGTCAATGTCTTTATTCCCATGAAGGTCAGAACATTTTGCCAAAATCAAAAGATGTAAAATAAGAAACTTCATACAAATTTTTCCAAAGATTAAGGATTAATGATGAAAGCAGAAAAAAAATTCTTTCATCAGCCAACTTGATTTCAGATCCAGGAATTTCACAAATTTTAATGAATGTTCCACTACTAACCAGACTTCAAATTTGAGTTAAGTTTCAGTAACATTTTAGACATGGTTGCAATTGTTAGTATTCAGTAATAATAGTTTTAATAAGCCATAAATTCTATTTTAACATATTTAATTTTCCATGTACATTATTGATAAAATACTCAAAATTAATGTTTGCCCGATATTAAAAAAATTTTTTAAAAATATACTCCACTAGTGGAATATATTTTAAATTCTAAAAAGGTTAAAAAGATTAAGTTAATTATATTTTAATACCAGACAAGTATTAATTGTATTTTAACATGATGTGTAATCACATATTTTAATTTTTTTGTTTATATTATCGATAAAATCATAAAAGATAATGCTCATCTGGTATACAAAATAAAAAGTCTTAAAAAAAATATTCCTCCAATAGAACAATGGATATAAAAAGGTTAAATCACTGTCTTCAATGATGGTCAGAATTTTTTAAATAATGGTTTGGATACAAAGTTCATTCTGTTTCTGATGGGACAGAGATAAATTGACAAAGAATTAATGAGTTATCTCCCTTAGTATCAACATTATCCTCTTGACTTCTGTAATCGTAGGGAGGATCCGAATGCAGAAGAGAAAATAACCTACCTCAAAAAAAGAGTTTGTTTTCTGCATGGGCTACCAAAGGAGAATGAAAGGAAATAGTGAGCAAAAATCTGGTACTTTAGGCATCAGAGAAACTCTGCTAATGTTCTTTCCTTCCCTGAATGGCTAATCAGAAAAATCGCTCGGTGAATAAAGGCCATTTTTGCTTACCAAGGACAGAACAATTTTTGAACTTGGTGAGCAAAAGTGCATTTCTCCTGTTGCGAAGGGAAGGTTGGATTTCTGACCCCCTTTTTTCATGACCACATTACCTGCTAGACTGTTTACAACAGATTTGTGATTGAACTTACTGCTGGCATATGGATGATTTTTTTTTTTTTTTTTTTTTTTTTTTGACCCCATTCAATGATACCCAAACAAAAACGCCCTCTTTTCCACAACTCTATCAACAGAAGCCATTATCAATTCTGTACAGTCATACCTGTCCATTGTTTGACATTGTCCAACCAGTTTTTGCGTTAATGTTCTCTCCTACATTCAACTTTCAAGACTGTTGTCTTGTAATGTGTTCAAACCATGCCATTTTTTCTCTGTTTGATAGCAGCAAGGAGAGGTTCCTGGTGTCCCACAAACCTTTCAACCCTTTTCTGTACAAACTCATTGGTTTTTTTGTTCCCAATAGAAAATGCCAAGGAGTTTTCTCATGCATTTGTTCTCAAACGCTTGGAGCCTTCAATGTTTCTGCCAACAGCATCCACGTTTCACATCCATATTGGAGAATGGAGACTACCAGCGATTTGTACAGTCTGTACTTTGTTTGAAAGCTGATTTTGCTCCTCCATATCCTTGTCAATTTGGCCATCGTTACAATGGCTGCAGCAATCCATGTACAGATTTCCAAGTTGCAGCTATCATCTTTAGACAAGATTGTTCCTAAGTATTTAAAACGAGACACTTCTTCCACTGAATTCCCATTCATGGTAATGTTGACACAGGTGTTAGTGTTTGTGCTATTCACCATTACTTTGGATTTCTTGGAGCTGACCTCCATTCCATATGCACCTGCTCTTTCAAAAAGTTTGTTGGTCAAGACCTGGAGCTCATTCTTACTACCTATTATGAGATCAAGGTCATCTGCAAAATGTAAGTTACAGACGGGTCTACTACTGATAGAGTTTGAAAGATCATGGTCATTCAGGGTTTCTTGCATGATTCTTTCTAGAAATAGGTTGAACAATGTGGGTGAAAGTATGCATCCCTGTCACACACCAACAGTCGTCCAGAAGAATCCTCCCATTTGTTTTCCCAGAAGAACTCCACTGGTGGTATCTTTAGGGACTGGATGACTTGGACAACTATAATGAATTCTCTAAGAATTTGCCAAAGACCATCATGCCATACATAATCAAATGCTTTCTTGAAATCAATAAAGTTGTAGAACACATTCTTTTGATGTTGCAGGTGTTTCTCTATGAGGATGCAACAACTGAAGACCTGTTCTATTGTACTTCATCCAGTTCTTGTTCCTTTGATAGCAGTTCTTCAGTCTTGAATTTCAAACAATTCAAAATGATATGGAGCAAGACTTTTCTAGGATGACTGATCAGGCTTATGTCCGTCAGCAATTTAACATTCTCATCCTCTATGACTGCTGCTCTCTGTCGGTTGGTCTTAATGAGGGATTCGAGAATATTGTAAGCCTATTTGTTATTACCATTAAGCATATCCTTCTCAATGGTTTTGCACTTATTTTGTATCCACTCCTCTTTAGCTGCTCACATTTTTCTCCTCGCGTCATTGTGCACTTCCTGATATTGGGTATAGACCTCACCACTTGAGTGCTTCTTTCCTCTCAATTCTCTCCATTTGTCACACAAATCCATGATTTTGCTTGTGATCCACAGTTGGATTTTCCTTCAGTGTTTACACTTCTTTAATGTGATCTGCAAAAGTGTCTAAATCATTGTTATTTAGGTTCAGGGCTGCAAACTTGCTGCTAACTTTGGTCTGGAACAGTTGAGGGACTTCAGGGTCTTTTAATTTCTCAACGTCGAAGCAGATGCGAGAGTCCTTTGAACAGCAATTCATTTTCAGCCTTAATTTAAATGTCGTCGTAGTCATCACAAGATCAGGATCGCTGCCATAACCTAAAAGTCTGGTTAATTGAATTTATGTTGTAATTGAGTCAGTATTGGTTAACACCAACTGAAACTGAGAGCTACAGTAATTTGGCTTCTTTTACTTCAGAAAAGGATCTAATCAGATCAAAGCTTAGATTATTTCCTCAACACCCACCCACCTGCCTCTATGTATGGATGCTGGCAAAGGGTGTGATAGCCAGAAATACTATTCTCTTTCACAAACCAATTGGAAAATGACAGGCAGTTGAAGAAGGCTGCAGAGTCTAAGCACCAAGATGAGGACAACAGTTTCAATATTTACTGTATTTATAATAAAAATATGATACACTCCCAAGATTTGCCAGTGTTGTTCAAAGTCCAATTCTTATGATGAAAACACTGAAAAAGATGGGACAAAAATATGGCAATAAGAAAAGACAGAGAAGATGATGATAATGATGATGAAGAAAACAGTGGGGAGGAGGAGGAGGGAGAAAATTCTTACTTTTCTACAACCCGGCATCCAGCAGAACTTTCATGGAGGATTGTCTCAGTGAGTTGTTCCCTACAAGAAACAAAATGAAAATTGTTAAAATGTAATTATCAATGACTGTTCTTTATAAAGCAACATGTCCACCAATTGGAAAGATTTCTGATAGCACAAAGCAAATTATTCATTACATGTTATAATTAGAAAAAATTAGTCACAATCATCACTGTACACTGATTATCATTACTAATTAGTAACTGCAATTTTTTTACTTTCAAATTAGCGAAAATATACTCTATTTAAATTTTGTTCAAAATCCCTAAGCACTTCGTCTTTGAGAAATCTGAAGACAAACCTACCACACAATGATAGTTGATTTTTATTAAATTAAAATCTTATTAAGTATTCCATTACTGTAGACCTGAGTCAAACTAAACAAGACTTTGTAAATATATCATTTAGAGAAAGACAAACATACATTACAAACTTTTTCCTACTACTTGTTGTGTTTTCTAATGGAATTTCACTGAAAAAACCACATTATGAATACATTTAGTAAGAATAAGGAAAAAAAATAAATAAAACAGCAAACTGGTTAATATTTAACGGAATAATCCTCGTTAACGTTGTGTAGCTAATCATTGGTCATTTCAATAAATGCTTAGAAATATATCAAAAAAAGAAAAATTGTTAAAGCAGCAGCATCCTACCTGCCTTTTTTTGCAACTTGTTTGGTTCATCCAAACCCAAGCAAAAAATGGTTACCTAATTCAGGTAGGACATTTCTTCACTTCAAAAGTCTAAAGATTTACAATGTATCTTCAATATCTGAGGAAACCAAAACTTAGGGGTTTTTTTTCTAAAGATGCTGGCTTCTACATAAAAAAGAAATTGGTTTGAGATGTGGTTGATTAGTCACACGTAACGAAGAAGAGAAACAAGTAGGCAAAAAAGGAAGGTTTGGTTTTGTTTGTTTTATGGCATATCAACCACAATGGGTCATTTAATGCAGACAACTTTTTTTTCCTGGTAATAGTTGTGTTTTGTAAAAAACGTATTGCTGGTAATAGTTGTGTTTTGTAAAAAACGTATTGCTGGTAATAGTTGTGTTTTGTAAAAAACGTATTGCTGGTAATAGTTGTGTTTTGTAAAAAACGTATTGCTGGTAATAGTTGTGTTTTGTAAAAACGCGTATTGCTGGTTGGTAATGTTTTTGTGTTTTGCTAAAATAGTTTTGTTTGGTAATAGTTGTTGTTTTGTAAAAAAACGTATTGCTGGTAATAGTTGTGTTTTAAAAAAAACGTATTGCTGGTAATAGTTGTGTTTTGTAAAAAATTGCTGGTAATAGTTGTTTGGTAAAATAGTTGTGTTTTGTAAAAAACGTATTGCTGGTAATGGTTTTTTCTTCAAAAATTTATTTCTGCTAATTTTTTTACAAAGTATTTCTGGTATTAAAACCTTTTTTGTAATGCTTTTTACCTCAGTTTCAGGGTTAACTATTTGCCCATAGCTGGGACCCTAACAGGTGCTACCAACCCGGGTCAATTAAGAGGTGGTTCCACGCTCTTGAAAGCCTCCTGATCAGAGGCCTTACTGTTGGACATAGTTTAATAGTTTATCGTCTTACCCTGGACGCAGATGTAGTTTATCACAAAAAAGGAAGGATTCTTTGCATCTAAGGCAAAACTTTCCATTGTAGGCGCACAAAGGATCAGAAAAGAAAAACCAACCGACAAAGAAATGCAAAAGTATAATGGGGTCAATTTGTTTTTAGAATCAAAACGACAATAAATTAAAACAAAAGAAAAGAAACCAATTCAAGAGACACTACCACAGAGTAAAGCATCAATTGTTAATACAAAATGACAAAGACGACCTCTGGGGTCTTGTAAAATAAAATTATAAACATACAATCAAAAGGTCATTGCTCAGTCTTTCACATTACACTTCAATTCTCGTTAGCAAGAACAAAAACAGAGAAAGGAGTTTAATGCACATTCAACAATATGAAAATATCAACAGAGCAAGAACAAAAAAAAAAAAAACAAACAAACAAAAAAACTCCCGTTTTCCTTATACAGGATTATTTATTCAGAGATTCACCTGACTGTCTGGGGGTTGGTAGGTAGCGCTTGGGACATCTCTGATACTACTGCCATCTTCTCACACGACAGATTAATGGACGAGATCTTCCATTTGGCCAGCGAGAACTGACTGTCCATCTTTACATCATAATGTACAGCTTTCTTTCCGATTCTCTACATCTCTGACCAATGGCTTGTCACCACCCAACAGCTTGCTCGTAACAGACTGCCATCTCACAACTGAATTACTTCAACTGTAACAACCTATATATAAATATAGACCTGGAATTACCTAATTTTTATTTATTTTCTTTTTACTACTTCTGGACAACACATGGCTCTGCTTTAAAGCTCTTAATTCATTTGTTTGTTTGTTTGTTTGTTTGTTTAGCTGCATATCAACTCCTTAATGAGGAAATTTCATTTTCTTGAGAGCATTAGTAATTCCATTTACAAAAATGTATAACTGGTAATATTTTTTTTTACTATGAAAATGTATTTTTATACTTTTATAGTATTGTGACCCCTGTTTAGGGGGTTAAACTATTTGCCTATAGTTGGGACTCTAACAGCCACCCTGGGTCGTAGTGCACCTGGAAACAGCAGCAATTAAAAGGTGGTTCCATGCTCCTGAAAGCCTCCCAATCAAAGGCCTTGCTGTTGGATGTAGTTTATCGCCATAGCCAAGAGTCTTAATTCATAGTTTTTACTGCTGGACATAAAACACTAGACACTTCCGTCTCAGATAAAATCAATTTGAGCCCACTTTGCAGGTGTTCTAATCACAGCCAGGTCCCATTAGGCCACAAAATAAACAAATAAAAAATAGGCAATCATTGACTTACCTGGTGAAAAGACTCATAAAAGTCTGGATAGTCCGTTCTGTAAATGCAACTCCCATCTGGATGCGGAGACCTTTGAACACAGCCAAAAAGAAACTGAGGATTTGGTCAGCAGTATCTGCAAAACAAACCAAAATCAATGACAAACTCAATCACAAAGGGTCCCATTAGGTACTGAATAAGGAATGTATTCTTTATTTTGAATAAATGGCAAACATGATACACTTTGGACCTAACTTCCCAGAATTATCCAAGACAGAAAATCATAAAGTTACATTTTAACTTCTTCCATGTGCTGCATCCATTCAGCACATAGAAAGTTGTGGAGAGCCATAACTGCCTATCTTGTGTAACCCTTAGAACTTTTCCTCCCTATTATAAAGTTTGTATAATGGTCGTAGTTCTGGTTAATAATACTGTAAAGAAACACTGCAGCAAAAGGTTGAGTGAAGAACAGGTTTAATCATATGAGAGACGTGGACTAATAATACAGTAATTGAGAATACCATAGTGCAATGTGGCAATGCACATGACTCAAACTATGAATTGTGACCCACTTTCTGAAAAGTGTTCCTATGAATAGATGTTTTATTCATAGTAGATAGACAAGTCTATGTTTCCTAATTAGTGTAGAGAAGGTTGGTCATCTTTCTACACAACACTCCCTTTGCTAAGCCCCTTTTCCCTTCTGCTTTCCATTCACATATCAGGTTAGCAACTCACTGCCTTCCCCCTATCTCTCTTTCTCTCAATATACCCTGTGAAGGTTAAGTTTTCCAAGCCTTCCTTCCTCATTTTGTACAAGTAAATTCAGTAGCCTTTTCCTGATTCTGAGTAGAAGCATATTTTCTTTAAGGCTTCCCTGTTGCTTACTTGGCTCCATTCATGGAATTTTCCTTCTATAGAACCACTTGTTTTTTCCTCATCTGTGGGGGGGGGGGTGATTGCCATATAAGAGGATGGATATCACATGGCAAGCCAAGACTCTTTTCTTTGTTTCTAACAAAATTTTTTTCCATTTCATGGATTCTCACAGCCCCAAATCACATTTTTTCCCCCCAATTTTGACATCTCAAGTTTCCTTCTTTTCCATCATTATATTTATGACTTCTACATCCAACTGAATTTCCTTGCCCAATTCCTTCAAAGAAAATTTCTCCCCTTGGATTCTATTCTAAATCAGGCCTCAATATGATCTGGAATTCTTGATGAGGTTTGAAACCCAATACAAGTAATGAAAGACATTCAATCCAAAATATCCTTGGCAAAAACTTGTAGGTCAAGATTATTTTTAATTAAATGCAGAAATTCATTCATGAGTTTGTTTAATAGAAGCAACATTTCATTAAGCAAAAAATTGAAAATTAATTATAAAAAGATGTTTGCCTTCTGTGAATACAACTTTATGACACTCCAATGAATTGGAGAGTCAATCAAATTGCAATGCTAAATTCAGATAGTTACAGAGACTGTTGGTGGGAAGATGAATTCTTCAATCCATTCTGGTTTACAAAACACATTGATTAAATCAGAGAACCCTAGCAGACAACGCTCACCTGGTTCGTGGATATACACTGGGAAAATGGCCAGGGTCACCTGCACGACTTCTTGAAGAGATTGATAACAAATCTGCTTGCTTTTGTTGGATTCTGAAGCAATTGCTTCAATCCAATCCTGAGAAATCTTCAAGGCATTTTCTATCACATACTTTGCTGAAAAAATGTATAAAAGTAAAAAAGCAATATTACAGAGTGCAAAGGTCAATTTGCCCTTGAAATAAGCAACAATCGTTTCATAACTGGCAGGAGGGAGATGTCGTTTTTAATGCACAGAGCATTTATAATTGAACAGCCATGAAACAACACAAATGTAGTACATTATCTAATATTAAAATAAGAGCCAATATGGCAAGGACAAGAGAGAAAAACATTTCAGAATGTTCACTTCAGATTTGGCTTAAATAAATTGATTGATTTGGGATTTTTTTTTTTTTACAGTTTCTCAACTCTTTGCAGGTTATTTAAAGCCAGAAAGTATTTTTAGATTCTAAGAATTTTGGGGATATAATAATGGTTTACTGATATAAGTCTTACTAATTAACGCATAGCTGAGGGAGAGGAGAGGTAGAAAACAGAAAAAAAAATTTTATTTAATAGAAATAAATCCAATTTATCCATTTTATTGGGTGGAAAATGTATTTGTACAATGCAAATTTCATATGTTAAAACTTAAATTCCTTTAATACTCTAGATTATTCAAAAGCAGGTTTTTTTTCTGCAAAAGGTACTGGTAACATATTAGTAACAGACATTAGAATGAATGCTGCAGCATATCAAATTATTTTGCAAGAAAATTTAATGATTTTGGTTGAAAATCTTGAACTTCCTCCTGATTAGATCTTCCAACAAGATAATGACCCGAAGCACACTGCAAAATCTACAAAGAAATGGCTTGATGAAAATAATATAAATATCCTGAAATGGCCAAGTTAGTCCCTAGATTTAAACCCAATCGAAAATCTGTGGTGTTATTTCAAAATTCAAATCCAATTGAGAGCTCAAAGAAACATCCCAAATCTGAAGACCATATGCAGAGAAGAACAAAACAAAATACCAACTAAAATTTGCAAATCATTAATTCAGTACTACAAGAAGTGGTTGTTTGCTGTAGAAGTGAATAATGGAAGTATTAAATGAAGATTATGTATTCTTTTTGCATTGTATGAATAATTTTTTTTTATCCATTAAAATGGATAAATGGGATTTATTTCTATTAAATGAAACATTTTTTTTGTTTTCTATTCATATTTTGTTATTATGCATCTGTGTACAGTTAATTATATGAAAAGTATGTTTATTTATTAGTTGGAAATTCAATAGATTAAAAATTTGTATGTGTACAAATATTTGTTTCCTCCCCACTATATATATATATATATATATGTGTGTGTGTGTGATCGCACACACAGACTCATATTGACTGCAAGCAATGTAAGTTTCATAAAGACATAAGTACATGTTGTATTAATCAGAATCTATTTCATCTGAAAATTTTCTTCATCTCCTTTTCCTTTCCTCCCATTCAAAAGATCATGAAAACTAGAAAGAAAAAAAAAAAGAAAGAAAGAAAGAGTGTCAAAAAGGGGTGACTCTCACCTTGTTGCTGTAAGGTTTTATTCTCTATAAGGGCTTGTGTGTCCTTCAATTGACAATACTCCATGGTCAGCTGACAACTGAAGTCCCGATGATATGTGGCCCTGTTGGTCCAATCTTGTTCAGTTTCACTAAGGTTCGGCCAAGGTAGTAAGAGATAATGCGATAAGGCTCGATAGACTAGTAACTGGATCTGAAATCAAAGAAGAGAGAGAGGGGCTGTATTAAAAGTGGACAAAATCAAATAGAATTATCCACAACTTCATTCATATTCACAAGGGAAAAGGGATTTTCAGAATAGAGAGAAATAAGCTGAGATTATTCAAAGGTGAAGGTCTCAAGATGAAGAAACTGCAAAACAAGTGATACCAGTAATCGCAAGAGTACATGAAGCATTAATAGAAAATTCATGGAAGTGAACAACAGTGCATCGATGTTGGTATAGTTTGCCCCCTACTTTCATATCTAAATATGAATTTATAGTAAAAGGGAAAGAGATTATCAGATAAAAAACATATTTAACAAAATATCTGATCATAGTTTTTAGGCACTGAAGCATTGTTTGCACACAAGAGTCACTGTCAGATATGTTACAAACAACAAATAGCAACAGTTAAGATACCTTGCTCAAGAGTGACCTGGAATGAAGGACCTTAACTCATATTTCATACTGTCCACTCACACACACAAGTTCTTTATGATGAATAAAGGATGTCTACAAGTTTTGGTTATTGACTGATTATCAATGTATGGATTTTTACCCCCAAACAAAATTTCTTGTTAGTCAATAAAGACTCCGTGTTTCACAAAAAGAGAGAGAGAGTCATTTTGATGTGTTTAGAAAGAAAGTGGAAATCATATCCCACCTCAAGTGGCAGCTCTTTACACTGACCCTGGCTGACCTGGGTGTACAGACCCTGGATGCACGGCATTTGCAGCAGGTAGGACGGCCTCACAGTCAACATCAAAGACAACAACAGATGAGCTGCAGATTGGACTATTTTTTCAGGAATCTGAAAGCATGACAAAGAAAAAAAAAAAAAAAAAAAAAAACATAAAATAATACACTAAATGCCACCAAGTTTTTTGGGGGTTTTTTTGAAAATCTTTACTTCACCAAACATAAAACAGAAGCCAAGAACAGCCTTTAAAAAAAAGAAATGTAACAAATGAGTTTATAGGACCAATTGACACATAGTAAAAATAAAAATATTTAAATCAATTTTTAACAATCTATTCTCTGTTGGCAACTTGGTTCATCCAGCAAATAGTTTTGTTCCACTATTGGAGCAGCACTACAAGAGTATGTTTAAATGTTTTGCAGATGTTTTATTACTTCTAGCTATGGCAACAGAAAATGACTGACTGAAATTGACAATGGTAGCAGATATTACCAAAAGAGCCTATCAAGCTTGACAGGGTTTAGCAGGCTGGTTTTCTTAAAAAATTGAAGGGCACTGGTGCTCCTGGTTGAAATTTTTCTTATAAAGCTGATTGTAAATTACTGGCAAGTGAACAATTTATTTAGATTTAAAAGCAAAATACAACCTCTTTTTATGAAAAAAAAGAAAAATGGGTGGGTGGGGGATGTATAAGGTTTGTGGGCTTTACTCAGATCAACCAGTCAAATAAGAACTACGTTACATTTAAGCTGAGGGTAGAAGCAAAAATTAAGAAATTATTTTCCATAAATGGGTCATGACCTGTAGATTAGCAATCAATTGCTGTCATGTTTCAATACGCATCGGAACACGACTGCAATTGTGTAGCAATTTTGGCATTTTCAATGTAATATCCTAAATAAATATATATATATATATATATATATATATATATATATATATATATATATATGTGTGTGTGTGTATAATTAATTTTATATATATATATATATATATATATAATTCACAAAATGTGTGTGATCAGATGTTTATGCATTTCAGTTTTCATCTGATTTTGATGAAATTTTATTTGTTTGACATAATTCTTGCTGGTTTTGAGTTCAAATTGTTGGCGACAATGGCTCTCCACTACTTCCTATCCATTATAACTCACAGCAACATTTTACTATTTACTATCTGTTCTTGGACATATACCTTTCATAAAAACTTTAATAAAAATAAATATTATTTATTATTATTATACAGTTCCCTTTTCAGGGTCATCCCCACATTCAAATTGTTACCCCGCCTCCTTTTGGGGACGTGTCTCAGTTGCACCCAAATGTTGTTACTAATATTGCTTTTTGGGTGGGCTGACTTTAAACTTAAACTACTCCAAATGAACGGCAAAAATTCCCAGTAATGAATGACCTGGTTGAAGACGGGTTATACTGCTAGTGTGTGTGTTTGTGTGTATGTGTCTATATGTATGTATATATAAAAAAAAAAGAAACGGGTTAAGTCTGACAATCATTTAAAAAGAAAGTGTCTATATATATATATATATATATATATATATATATATATATATAAGTTCAGGGGACTCCTTTTTTTCTTTTTTAATCCATTTCATAATATGTTGTCAATGTTTACCTTAAGGTACATTTAATGAGCATATATAATCAGTCAGGAAAGATTGTTGAAGATTTGTTGTTTATGAACAGAAATTCTGACTTTGCTAATCAGACACTTTTTCATAGCTGAATGGTTAACAGCACATCAGATCAAATGATAGGAATTGAACTTGTAACCCCAATAGAAACTATCAGAGAAGCATATATATTTGTTTTTTATTTTTAAAAAACGAAATTCCTTGAACATTCAGGTCAGTAAATGTAATACTGTTTATTTAAAAAAAAAAAAACACAGAGCATTCATGTAAATAAATTGTATCTAATAAAATAATAAACAGAAAATATATCACTTTAAATATTATTTTTTTAGTGTATACTCATATTTGATGCTCTGTTTGTTTATTAAACAGTAAATTTATTTTTGCCGACCAGCCTGAATACGAGAAATCTTATATAAAAAAAAAAAAAAAAAAAATGTAAAATATAATGTGCACTCTCCAGCAGAATTCAAATGTGTGTCCTTGGGTAGAGAAAACCACCATTATATTCAATATGCCTTAGCAAATCATCCACAAAGAACCTTTTGCCAATCAAGCAAAGCCAAATAGTGTCTTTAAGTGAAATCCTTATCATAGACTCTCGAAATTACATATCTGCTCAATTTCGTATCCAAACGTAAACAAAGATGACAAACATATCAACATATGCAGTTATTAATCACTATCTCTGTGAGGATTATCTTGCCAGAGGGAAACATCAAGTCTATTTTTTTAACAGCTTGTATATATGAGAAAGAGAGAGAGAGAGAGTGAGAAATTTAGAGACCCAAACATTAACAGGAGACAGCATTAATTATTGTCTGTCAATGCAAATGAAAATATTGAAAGCCTTACCTGTTTTCTGAAAAGTGGGACAACAGCTTCAATGAGGGTAGAAAATAAACTTGCAAATTTGGCTTGTTGGTTAATCTTCTGTGCTTCTGTGTAATACTGGGCCAGCCAGTGAGCGTATGCCTTGAGGGTTGCCAGGGCTTGAGCATGCCTGAAATAAACCAAACATAAATACAATCAATCACTTTCTGACAAAATAAGGCACTTCAACATGGTGTAAGAGTTAACAAGCTTCTCTTGCTAGATCAATCAAAACAACCGAGTAGTGAGATCGATCCTCACTGGGTGCTCCACACTTCTGGCTTTGTGCCACATCTAAGCTATGCTTAGAAAATCATTTGGGTACCTCGAAGTGGTGTAATGGTTAGCAGGCTTGTCCCACTATAACAATTACAACTGAGTAATGACTTTGATCCTCACTGGGTGTCCCATAATTTCAGCTTTGTGCCACATCTAAGCTATGCTTAGAAGATCACCTCTCTCTGGCAAACTATTTTAAAAGGTGCTACCAAGATATTCAAATCAGATCAAATAGTAATTGCATTATAAGTTAATACACCAAAAAAGTCAGGATTGTTGAACAACAAGAGTAAATTCACTGCTTTGGTTTTATTTGGAGACTTTCATTTCAATTTTAATTTCATATAAATAAAATAAATTACTTTAATTTAAAATTATGGCAGAATTTAAGAAAAGCCTCAAAATACAATTACTTTATGATCAAATGACTTAATTTCTCCTGAAGGTAAAAAAAATAAATAAATAAAATAAAGTTTATAATTTCAGTTATTTATGTCCTTGAAACAGACTAAAACAATCAATCAGCAACAATTTTCATCTGCTTCAACAACAGGGTGGGGGGAAGAAAAAAGATACCAGTTTTTTTTGGCAGGGGATGGGGTCAGGGGTAGTGAAAAGGCTAATAATATTGTTACTAAAATAAATTTATTCTGCTTCATTGGCAATTTACAAAAAGTATCAAGTGTAATTGTTTTCTGATATATTAAAAACACTGTATCTAGTTTTATGATTTATTTACATAAGAACTAGGTGCCTTGGCATGAGATAAGTGTTAGTGAAGCTCATTACCAAGTAGTGAGTTTGATCCTCACTTAGTTCCCTCATATAAAATTTGGAAATCAAATAACCCAACAAGGGTTGTCATACCCTAAAAATCAACCAACCGACCAAGACCTAAATCTAATATTTTCAAGCAACAATTTGATCTTGACTTGCTTCATTACCCCTATATCACCATGGATTTTTTTTTTTTAAAAAAGACCTTAAAATGAAACTTGCTTATTAAATAAAAGAGCATATGTCTTTTAGTTATTAATTCTTTCTTACATCACATCTAGCAGTAAATAAAATGCACTTTTGTGCAATAAACTAACCAGTGAGGCCCAAAGCACCTTCTGAATAAATCAATCAACCAAAACGTTTGTTATAACGCCTTGCACTCTAACAAAGGGAAGTGAAGAATTAAAGAGAGAGAAAAAAAAATATCAACATTCCCTAAAGACTAAATAGTATTGTTGGGAAACCAGTATGAGTCACAGTAGTGCATAGAGGACAAAATGAAGACCAAGTGCAAATTTCAAAAAGGGGAAAGGATATTAATCATCATTGTTTTTACTTAACAAGTACAGCAGTAAAATATTTCAGTAGGCAAAAATAAATATACTGTTGAATAAATAAACAGAGCATCTAGTCAAATATGAATATCAACTTTTAAAGTGATAAAATATATATAAATGATAAATAAAAAAATTAAAGTGACTTATGGCTACATTTAACAACTTCAACGGTAAAATCAGGAGAGCTCACTAACACTCTAGTACGAGATCTTAAATGCATAAAGTTGTAGTATCAAAGAGGAAAGCTTATTTGGTACCAAAAGTGTTAACCTTTTAGCTTTAAGCACAATGCAAAATCTTTTTTTTTTCTTTTTTTTTTGCTATTTTATGTATAAGGAGTTTCCTTTTGGATTATTTCAGTCAAACTTTAAAGAGGAATATTTTTATGACTGTTTATTATAGTGGGGAATGAGTTCTTTCAAATCAAGCAACAGAGAAAAATACTTTTACCGTAAATACTTGTGTATATAAGCCTACTTCATGTATAGTGCGACCACTGAATGTTTTGTGAGAAACCACATTTGCTTATATTGCTCTTGTATGTGACCCCAGCTTCCGAGCAATACTAGTGGGACTACCATAGTCAAATATTGAAGTACTGGGCATCATCCTGGACATATTTTATAGCAAATAGATGGTCTTCATTCTTTTTTGTACAAAGCTATTCCAAAATGATGAGAAAAAAAAAATACTTACCGTAAAATATCTGATATGAAAATTTAAATACCGTTTTGTTTTTGTTCATGACCAACTACAGTACTTCAAAAAAAAAAAAAAAAAAAAAAAAGAAAATTTACCTGCATATGGGTAAACACCTTTTATTCTGTTGCATAAAAACTGATCCTAAATACTTTCAGTATACTCAAGCATATACAGTGCATGAAACTAACTTTGGATTGACAATTGTCTTATCAGGAATTGTCAAAGAGAAATTCAGAAAACATCATCATTAGAAACAATTACTTTGCATAAATATGTTTGTCTAATTGAATCCTAGAAGTGTAGACTAAAAGGTTGGGGGTGGGGGGCTTGTCAAGGTTCCATCTTTGAAGGCCTTGTGAAAGAAAAAAGTTTTTAAAAAATTACATAATAGCTATTTACCAAAATACTTTTAAACAAATCTCAAATCTGTTATTTACCAGTAACGCTTATATAAAGAAATCGAAACTCACAAATTGTGATTGTTTCACAAAAAAAAAAAAAAATATATAAATAAAAAGTAAAATAATAAAATAAAAGAGAAAAAAGTTTGGATCAGATTCTGACAAAGGCAAAATGATACATACACTTCTATGAAATCTGGTTGAAGAACAGTCTGTGCAATGGAACTAACTTCATACAATTTGGCTGAGGCACTGTAAGCAAGAGAATGGACCAACCTGACAAGAAAAAAAAAAAAAAAGAAACACACAAACCAGTCAATTATTCTACTTTCAAGTAACAATTTTCATCAGAGTGAATACACAAACTTATAACAACAGCTGGGTCATTTTTCATTAAACTGCCCAAACTGACCAACATTTAACTATAGAAAATCTTTGTTTTCTTAATTGCACTCATACAATTAAACTCCTCTTATGAAAATCTTTACTGGAAAAGTGCAAAGCTGATTAAAAAAATAAAGTATATTGTTTTGTACTCTTAAGGTCACTTATCAGCTGACATTGTCTTTATTGCTAGATTAAATACATAAATAAAAAAAATGAAATTCATACAAATATTTCTTTTTTTTTTTAATCAATCATTTTAAGAAACTATTGTCAGCTGTTTTCAGAAGTTTGTCCTTTCAAGAATTGTAAAGACTACTGAAGTTGTATGACCTTTAGTGATAGCTTAATATTTTAGACAACTTTTTTCAGTCATACATATCCACAAGGAAAGAGATGCAATCATCACATTCTATACTACAGGCTTACTCATGGTGCAACTAAGGGCCAGAACTGGAGGCCTATTTCAAAATGTTCAAAATTTCAGAACTTCTAAGAGAAAAGTTAAAACATTGACACAATTACTTAAATTTAAATTTTATTAAAATTAAATTTTATCAATATATTTGTTGTTATGAATAACAATATCAGAAAAATATTAACTTTCTGACAATGGCTTTTTATTTAATAAATTTCAGTGTAAAAACAAAATTGAGGAAAAAGTCTTCAGAAGAAAAGTTTATTAAACATAAAACATTAAAATTAATTTGAGTCTTTGTAACAATTGTAAGACTGGTAAAAATTCAATATAATTGTTACCTGTTAAAATCAGAAATACAAATTATGTAAAAAAAAAAATGTTTATCATTAGTGTATTTATTTGCTTTTATGAATAAAAATTTCATAGAAAAGAACATTAACTTTAAATTAAAAATGTTAAGTAAACTTTGAACCAACAAGACCAAAATTCCTAAATAATATTTATTTTTTTTTTTAAGAGAATTTTGAACAAACTTTTTTTTTTTTTTTGCAAGAAAACACAAAATAATCTAACAAGGCAGCAGCAGCTTTATCTCATTATCTCGTATTCAAGAATTTAATTTTTTCTTTGCCAATTCTCTTTCTTTATCATGATGGTGTTGATGACTAAATTTGCCACCAACATGCAGGTTCAGGACAAGAAGCTTCCAGTTTCACCAAAACCTGTTCCTGTCATCCATTCCTTATCGCCATTTGACTTTGCAAGAGTTGGTTGAAAGTGAAAGAAAATCAGAGTAGAAGAAAGTGCCAATGGCGTGAATTTGTTTAAGGTGGATCTCAACTTGTCAGGAAGTGACCCACACACTTGATATGACCTTCCTATAGCACATATGGAATGAGACATGCAGAATCCAGTTATGAAACTGCAAAAGATTGCAACTGATTCTGTTATAATTTCAAGTAGCACCTTCTGCAGCATGTCCATCATGTGTAGACCACTTCATTTGCTGGTTCAACCATTAAAATCTGTTGTAATAGTTATCATCATCATCATGTTTGTGCTTAGTCTGGGTCCTTGTCTACCAGGAATTTAGAACTCTGGACAGCATTGCTCTCAGAAGTATTGGACCACAATATAACAAGTATGAAGAAAATAAATCTCAATTACTCAATTTAATAAGCCAAATTTATTTTAAGTGTAAAAGCAAACATTTTTTTAAGCCAGCTACATCAGAAAACTACCACAGGACCAAACCTAAACTAAAACGTGTTGCTCTGATTGGAACAGGAAGTTTCTGAAATAGGCTTCCAGTTCTTGCCATGCATTGCACCATGTGTTGGCCTGTAATATACAACACTATAAGTATAATTTTTTTTTTTTTTTTATTGTCAGTTACCCAAACTTCATCCAAATCATATAAACCTGGCAATAGCCTTTAACCCTACTTATATATAATAAAAAGAAAAATATTTTTAGTCAATATATAGGGGGTGGGGAGACAGTCAAAATTCCTACACTTACCTCTGCACTAAACTATTAGCATCAGAGAATTTCTCAACAAAAGTCTCTCCGCTAAAATGATCAGCCATCCTCCCTAGAGCCTGCTGTAAGGAGGACAAATCACGCAGTATACAGTGAAGTCGGCGACACTCATTCTCTGCATCAATGGTCAGTTTGCGACCCTGCGAGCCATTCGAAACTACATACTGTTCCAATCCCATATATACATCCATATATTCCTGGAATGGCTCATACTACAAAACAAGACAGACTTAATGTAAATAGCTGAACCTTTTACCATTTTCATAATAAATGCATCAGAATTAAAGAAAAATTTTGATAACTTTAGAAACAAAACTTTTTGTAATTTTTTTTTTACTTGAGCTCACATTACAGATTACAATTTTAAAACTTTCAAGAATATTGAGTTTTTTCTAAAGGAAATGTACATTTTTATGCAAACAGAAAATGCAAAAACATTACAGTAAAAAAAATAAAAAATAATTATGCTAAATGAACAAGAAAAATAGTGCAAGCATTCAATTTTAAAACTTGCAGGAAATTCATTCTGAATAATGAACTGAAAAAAAAAAAAAAAAAAAATTTCTTTAAAATTTATGGCCATGTTCTTGCGTATTGATGCTTGACATGATGTCGCTCAAAGCAATCAAAATGTTTTTTTTTTAAAACTGCATTTTTATAATGCTCAGTGTGCAGCAGAAATACCTCCCACATAATGCTAAGACATAAGTTAGAAGAAGACACCATTGTCACTAATATCCTACCATTATGTGGGAGGTATTTCTACCACACCCTGTATAAATTTCTTTTACAGCAAAAGCAGATAAAATCTCAAAGCAAAATTCTCATCATGCATCTAAGGTTTTTTCATTCAATATTAAAAGATTTCACAACACAGGATTTATTTTCATGTTTTACACATAAGAAAAATATATATAAACAGACACACACATTTATAAAACAAAATGTTCAATAACTGTATTTTCTGATGAATATTACCTATTTTATTATTGTTCTTGTTAGATGACATTAGAAGTGCTTAGTTTTAATTAAATAAGATAAATACAAAATAAAAAAAAAAAAGATTTATCACAGCTGCCACATCAGAGTGCATTTCCAAGAAGTAAAACTGAAGATAAAAAGAAAATAAATTACACTTCTACCATATCATGCTAATTTTAAGGCGAAAAAAAAAAAAAGCACCACAAATTCTAAAATAATTTGTGCTGTTTCTGAAGAAGTTGCACTGAATGATCCAATATTTCAAAAATGGTTTGCAAATTGTAATATGGTAGATTTAACACTAAACAAGGCTCCATAGTCAAAGTGACCAGTTGAGATCGACAGCTATCACATCAAAATACTACTTGAGGATATAATGGCTGGTTGCTCATATACGAGTATGCCTGACTACTAGGGCAATTCGCCAATCCCTGTTGCAGACGCCTTCTCAGGCATATTTGTGTTTGTTCAACACCCACAGAGTCCACCTGAGGTTTTATACTGCAATTATGCTGAGCTGGCCCTAGTTACGGTTTCTAGCATGGTCAAGAGTCTGAACAAGGCCAGCACACTCACACCCTCAGTCACAATGACTTTTGACTTCGTGCTAGCACAACAATCAACGGCTCCCAAATCATTTCATGTATCCAATTTCATACACGGGGCTTTGGTCAACTAAAAGTGTGGTTTTTCAGGCACTTTCCAAAAGGTGCTGCTCGCTGGGATCACCTCCCCAGGCTGATAGCATCAAGAAGACAAATTGAGCATGAGGAGATTCAAACCCAGGTCTTATGATTGGAAAGCAAATGTTCCAACCACATACCAATGACTTGAGAATAGTCAATGTTTTATGACATGGAAAGTAAGCAAGAGATTCAAAATATCCCAATCAAAACCCAAAATTATTTAAAACTATCTTTCACTTGCATTAGTCACTTCAATGTACACTTTTTAGATAAGTTAAATAAAACAAAATTATAACACAAAAGTAAGGAGATTGTGTAGCAAGAAGCAAAGTAAACTACTACAGCAATATTGAAAAAGATTTCATCAGCATAAAATGATGGTGTGTATATGATAGGATTGAAAAGGAATTTTCTATGATGAACTTCCAGTGAACCAAATGATTGATATGAACAAGTACTGCTCCTTACAAGACCCAGTAAGATAGCAATCAACAAAAAGTACCAGGAGGTTCTTTAGTTAAAGAGTATAATGATCAATCAAGATTAACACTAGAATTAAAGGTGACAGGCTGCAAATGTCACTCATCTGCGACATCCTCCAAATATTGAACCTTAAGATTACCTTTTTTTATTTTTAGTTTTTACAGAAATCTCTTAATGAAAGAGTAAACTCCCAATTCCCTGGATGCTATCTAAGAGTAATTATTTGCCCAGGAAAGATGAAACTATGAATATACTTACAATTGAGTGGAAACGGATGAAACTATGAATATGCCAATAGTGGAAGGTAGTAGAACAAAATTGTTACAATGAAGTTGAAAAATAAAAATTTTGTCTTTTCTTTTTAACCCTTTCAGCCTTGCGTTCCTGAACAATTCTAACCCTTCTGCCTGAGCTCCCGAGTTAAAATTCGCAAATAATTAGTATGTAATGTTTCACAGTAGATATAAAAATAATTACAAGCATTTACCACTGTTCAACTGGTGGCTGGGCATTACGTCATTTTTCTCTACCACCGGTAAAGCAGGGGTCAGGACTCAAAGGGTTAATAAGCCAAAACAAACTTTTTAAGATAACCCAACTCCCTCCCTTCAGTTCCACAGATTCCACTGAGCAGGGCAGGGTACAACTCTCAGCAATGCAAGGTATCACTTCTGTGATTTTCATAGCAATTAAGTTTTTATGGGACAAAGTAGTTAGCCTTATGCCCCAACTGTTTTCAGACCAGATTTTCACTTACAGTATCCATTGTTGCCAAGCAGTTTCCCATCTAACTACTGACTGGCCTTGTCATTGCTTAACTTCAATGATCAGTGTGATTTGATTATAAGCAATAACTGAACCCATGAGCAATAAAACTGCATAATTAGAGTCATTTATAGGTCAACTGATTTGTGCTCTCAAAATAAGTGAACCAATTTCAATTCTGACTCAATTTTGTACCATTTTATGAATCAGAAAATTAATGTTGATAGAAGATTCTCTCCTCATTCTGCATTCTCATCAACAATGGAAAATAAAATTTTCCAACTCATAGAACTGAATAATTGAAAAGACATGAATTCTTAATTTGTACTGACAGATGAGAAAAGACTACTCCTACCGATGGGAAGGAGTTTGGAGATGAAAAGAAGTCATTGCTTACCAGTAAATGGAAAGTTTCTCCTGTGAGAATTTCAGACACTTTCGCAATCACCTCAAGGCACTGTCGTAGGAAATGTTGCCATTCTGTCTCAGCCTAAAACAAAACAAGAGATAGTCTCATTTCACAAACAAAAGACAACTTAAAAGCATTTCTAGTTTTACTCACAGAAACTCTTTATACTTTACAAAACAAAATTGTTTCTTATCAACTATTCTAATGAATGTCCTTTCAATTCAGCAGAGACAATACAGGTTTACCTCACCCTATGTCGTTAATAGGTTCCAGAGGTCACCAATTAGGTTGAAAAACAACTTAAATTGAAATAATCACACTATAAACTGCAAATAAGCACCCCCCAATGCATGCATCAGTATTTATGATATGTACATACAGTACTGTGAATAAAATAATTTATCAGCGATACAGCCTCACACTTAGTATTAGCAATGAAAGAACAGTCTGACAATTTTGTCCAATATAATCCAGTTTCATCAACATTAAAAATTTGTTCACGAACAAAGCCATTTTATTCGATGATCTTCGCCAATGGTTTAGGAAAATTACCTGATGCACTTTCACCTTGCTTCTTAATGGAGTGATAATTTCTTCATTCTTTAAATCTCATAAACCAGCCTTGACTCACTTTAAACTCTACATCTTTCTCATTTGGGTATTTTTTGTTCAGGTCCTCAAAGACAACACTTTTGCTTGAATGATTTCTTGACTAATAGCAGCTGATGATTCAACCTATCAATCCAGAGAGAGAAGTTGTTCCATCTCTTCAAAGATTTTTTCCTCTTTCTTATTGATAACAATATTCATCATCCTTGGGGCATCAGATTTGCTATGTGCTAAAATCTTATCCTTATTGGGAACAATCGTCGATACAGTTGTGTAACTCATTAGTAGTCAGAAAAATCAATTATACATAAGCTGGATATGAGCAAATTCCACAGATATTCAATATGTCCAACTAAGAGAAATGGAGGCTGATGATAATATCCATTAGGCTACCATATTATTGCTTTAAATATTCAATGAAGTTAATTGGGAAAACTATATTTTATTATTAGATTTTAACAACACGTTGATCACTCACCTTTTAACCCACATGGCGGCCACTCTCACCTTTTCTTTTTCTCTGAATTACAGAGTTATGCATGACTGAATACTGGCCATGTGATGAATGAAACTAATAAAAAACCTTTGTTCTTGAGATTTATTAACATTGCTAATGCTAGAATAATTAGAAATTCCCAGTTTTTCATAACAAAAACTAATGTCATGCCACTTGGAATTTGATCAATTATTAGTTGGAGAATCAATAAATCAATACTCAAATCAGTTTGTAAGAAAATAGTTAAGAAAAATAACAGGTTAGATTTTCTTATTGAAATTCCATTCATTGTAAATAAAGATAAAAAAAAAAAAAAAGAAACATTATAACATTTTCTTTTATAAATATCCCAATAATGAAATTAACTATTAATTAAAAATTAATTAATAAATAAATAATTATAATAAATGACGATAGTATTTAAAATGTCCAGCTGGACATGTTTAATTAAAATGGAATAAAATTTCAAAGAAAATATTAAAAATTTACATTTGCTCTATTTAATTAGTTTAATGTATCAATAATATTACATAGAGGAAAATCAGAAAAGAAAAAAAAACATAATTGAAGTAAATAGTTAAAACATTAAAAAATCTCTTCATATTTCCAAATTAATTAGGTAACTTTTCCACCACTTTGAATCCAGGATGAAATTAATTGATATCATTTCATAATCTAATAACTTGACCAATTCTCATTTAAATGAACTCAAATTTTAACAGCATTTGTAGAAACAATTCAAAATTTGGTGCAACTATAGTATACAATCTACCATGGTATCAAACATGTGGTCTACCTCATTTACTACTATAGTATGCAGCCTACCAGGGCTATGAATAATACCTCACCTTACGTGCCATCCACCTGCAGTCTACCACGATGAATTCTACCATCACCTCACCTCTTGTGTGTCCTGTCCACATAAAAGGAAGGAAATCGTTAGATGTTAAAACTATGATTCTGAAAAAAATGAGGTGTTGGTACTGAGCTTTTCCAGACACACCTTTTGATCTTGATTAGTTCTGCTGAGAAGATGCTGAGGAAAGATTCAGATGATTTATTTGTGCCATTCTTTAATGATATAAGAAGTGTTTATCACTGAAATAAATGTCTTCGAGTTCATAACGTGTTTAATTTTGTTTTCCTGCTATTTAAATATATTGTAGATAAGGTAGATTGTATGCTATAGTATTAAATAGCCCTGGTAGACCACATACTATAGTAGTAAATGAGGTGGACCACATGCTATAGTGCTGGATACCGTGGTAGGCTGCAATGCTATAAGAGCACCCAAAATTCTATGTTTAATATCCTTTTTTTTTTTTTATTTTTTATTTCATATATAGAAATGCCATTCACTGGAAAAGGAAAATGTGTTTTGTGTTGGAATATGCTTGAACAGAGTCAAACAGGGCTGTGCAGTGTGCATTTGAACCTAAGAAAGAAAATTGTTTCTTGTAGAAATCATTAGTTATTTCATAATTTAATCAGAAAATAAAACCCCAACTGAATAATGTCTTTGCAAAATGCTATTATATATGAAAATATTAGAAAAAAAATCCAGGACACAGATTTATATTTTAATAAGAATCTATAGCAGTAATCTCAAGAATTTTTCTTTTAAGTTACTTTCTATTTAATGAGTGTGGCATTCTTCAGGTCAAAATTTTGGTTGAATTCTATGTTTAATGTCCTTTTTTTTTTCTTTTTTTTTTTTTATTTCAGATATAGAAATGCCATTCACTGGAAAAGGAAAAGGTATTTTGTGTTGAAATATGCTTAAACACAGCCAAACAATACTATGAAGCGTGCATTTGTGAAAGAATTAAAAATGTAGCAATTGCTATGCTGTTACCAAGACATGGTGCAGCATGTTTGACGAGAGGTAGACTACCAACTTGACATATGCCATGTCACAGGCAGTGGCACCTATTGAAAACTTGTGAAATATTTCATGAAATCAACAAACCTTTGAACTTCTAATTCAAATTTTGATGAAGAAATCTTATTTTGCTCAACAATAAGCCTGTTTAGTTTCATTTGCCTGTAGTTACTCAAATATTTGCATCTCAAAAGAGATTTTTTTTAAACACCCTGTTATGTCAACTTATCCCCAGAATGGAGGTTCAAATCATGGCAGGATCCATTTAAATTTTATTGACCAACTAGCAGTAGAACCCGGCGTTGCCTGGGGATGTAACAGTAAGAGATAGATCAAGTAGCGACCATCATAAAGACTGAAAAATAAAATTGACAAAGATTATTGTTTAAGGTTGACGGACACGCATGTCTTAATTAGTTTTTTTTGTTTTGTTTTTTTTTGTTTTACGAATTGGTCAAACCCAAACTCAAAACAAAAACATTGTTTTCAATTGATATGAGTCTACTGATTGAATGGAATTTTATTATAAACAATTGTCTTGTAAATGGAATTTTTAAAGCATTCTGAATGTAAAAATAAAGAAAAAAAGTGTGCAAGACAATAAGAAACACTAAAAAAAAAAAAAAGTGAAGTTTTGTTGAAATCGGTTGAAAAATGTAGGAAATCCGATCCCATATATAAACGAACACAGACACACACACACACAAACCTGGCTTTTTATAATAAGTATAACTCGATATGAGTTGTCCCCCTTTCATTCCATGAAAGCAATGCCTCTTAATCGTGTTTTCAGATTGATTTTGCAAAAACAATTGTATTTTTCAATTTTTGGCACTGTCAGAACCACTGCAAAGGTAATTTTATCTAGTCCTGTGAAGTTTTGTTGAAATCGGTTGAAAAATGTAGGAAATCCGATCCAATATATAAACACACACACACACACACACAACCTGGGTTTTATAATAATAAGATAAGATCACATTCTGTGCTATTTAACACACACACAGAATGATGTGTGTATATATATATATATATATATATATATATATATATATATATATATATATAATTTTTCTGGTATTTTTTTTTTTTGTGTTTGAAAATAAAATAAAACAAAAAAAATTTTATTCCTATATTGCATTCTCTGATGATGTTTTAATAAAAGCTAAAAACTTGTTAGATTTATAAATTTTTTCCTATTTTTTTTCTATCATTCTGTTAGATTTTGAGATAGAGATTATATATATAAATATATATATATATATATATATATATATATTTTTTGTATATTTAGGCAGCAATTTTCATTAAATAATATAGACAAGTTTTGTATACTTATTTTAAATAAGTTCTTTTCATATTGTCTGATAAGCTTAATAACATTATCATTGAAAGACGAAAGGAAATCACCATATTGATACATGTTTAAATCCAATCTAAGGATTATTTTTATAAGCCATTATCAAAGATGACAATTACTTTTCAATATATCAACCAATACACAGACGAAACAATAATGGTAGTCCATTTTTGTTGCATGAAAAATTTCAAAGCAACAACTAACTAGTGTATATGAGACACGCAAGCGAAAATCACGTTACAGCTCATGACATCACACATGACCACGTGAGAGTGAAAATAAGAAGTATTAAGTATGGAAAGCCGTTGGTATAAACTAATGGCTTCTGTTATCAATTATAAGAATTTAAGAATATTTGTGGAAATTTCATAGTTTATTTTGTTCAGGTAAGGTTTCAACTGTTATGTATATAGCTTCAAGAACTTTTAGTTTTTGTTTATTGTTTTCATGTTTGTGTTTCCAACAAGGATTTTCTAGAATTGATTAATGGCAGGCATCTTTGTGTGTGTATATATATATATATATATATATATATATATATATATATATATATATCCTTATTATGTCATGTTTTTCTGACAATTGACAATACCTTTCTCTTTTTTTTCGAATGTATGCCAAAATTTGCTTAAAAAATTTTTAGAGGAAAAAAATTACAAAACCCTTTGTTCACTGCAAAATTGGATTAAAATATTCAGGTTCTTAATACAGAAAATGACAAAAGCTAAACTAAAAATAACTGGCAGAGTAATAGTAAAGTCAGTGCGCAATTATTAAAAAAATTTTCTTACATATCTATTTTTTTGAAATATCGTGTTCCTTCAATATATAGATTTTTATCTCTTTATCTATAAATTGCCCTGACTTCTTGAGGAAAAATAGTGAAATAATTTTCCCTATTACCATCACCAGTGTTTTCATTTTCCTTTCTTCTAGACTGGTTGCCACTTAAGGCTAGAGAGACCAGTCCACCATGCTATTAACCGATAGCTATGGGTAGAAGAGTACATTAATGGGTACCAAATTGAACACAACAGACTGAGACAGAACTGAACTCTTCTGATTCCTCTTACCAACACTGATAACCCTAACTACTGCACACAGCTTGACGAGATTCAAATACAAGTTAGCATTGAAATAAAATTTTGATTGTTTAATTCTCAGTCCCAATTCAATACGAGTGGAATTTGCTGCATCACTCAACATGAACCAGACACGACGACAAGAGTGAACTTGACAATCTAAAAGTTACACTTCAACACAAAAGGGATCATATGAAACAAGAGAGACAAATTTGCCATGAGAGCAGACAAACAAAAACTGTCTCATTCTATAAGATGACAGAGTAAACAGATTTAAATAGCAGCAATGTTTTTTGCCACCATGTTTCAAAATGTTTGATATATAATCATCAGAGTGAATTAAAGTAGAGATTTTCTTTAAATAAATTCTACCTTTGATATTACAAATTTACATAAACAGCAGTGAAGCACAAATTCACAGTGGCAGCCCCTCATTCCAAATAGTGGCTTTGATCTCTCAAACTAATTTCAGGTCATACACATTATCAATGTTTAATTGAAACTCCAGCCGATCTTGGAGGGGGGGGGTAATAATTGAGATTGCTTCTTCATCTGTCAATCAAAATCAAAGGAAAAAGAAAGAAAAAATACAACTTACATCATCATCAAGAGCTTCGTCATCTAATTCTTCTAATTGTGACTGATTAAAGCGGAACTGTAACTTCTGAAGAATGTGCGTAACAAGAGACAGCAGTGCTGGTTTGTATCTGGAATGATAAGAAAATGAAAAGACATTTTAAGGTACTAAACAAGAGACAAAGACAATTTGCTATATACACACACACACACACACAATACTTTAACAGGAGATAACTGATAACTGACATCCATTAGACATGACACATGGAACTAAAACAGTCTACGCCAGTGAGCAAAAAAAAGGGTTCAGTTTGACATTCCAACCACCAGAAGAATCATTTTTTTGTACAAAGGCTGAAATGTTGTAATAAATATGGCAACAAGGATGAGGACAACAGTCCGAATAATGTAAATAGTGTACATAATACCTCATCTCAAAAATATATATATATATATATATATATATATATATAAATAAATGGAAGTAGACTTGCAACGGTTAAAACCATTTCTAAGACTTATAACTCCCAAAACAAATATTTTCAGGAAGGTGTGTGTAAATTGAATAAAAGCAAACTAAAAATTTATCTTGTGCATCAAACGTTTCATCCTCTGATGGACTTTATCAAGGCAATATACTCCTTTTCCCAAGCAACATACAGGAAGATATAAAATTTTAAAAAATTAAAAAACTGTTAAATTCATAACCTCATTATTTAAAATCTAGAATACATAAAACTCAAACTAAAATAATATAACTAATAATTCATCACAAAAAATAATAAATCAACATTTACTCACTTTTGTTTATTAGACATTAAATTACATCACTTAGCATCTTCCATAATTTATCTCGACTTTTCAGTTAACATAACATACATTTAAGAGTGTTCTTAATGTAATAATTTTGAAAAAGAAACATTTTTACTTTTGTTTATAAATACTTGTTGCAAAATAAAATTCTTACATTTGCCTTGATAAAGTCCATCAGAGGACGAATTGTGTTGGTTAAGTTTTCCTTTTGTCTTTATTCATATTTTGTTCTTTTACAGAGAGATTTTTAGTTATATCTGAAATTTCACACACACAAGTCATATAACATTGAGCTGTATGTGGCTTCTTTTGTCTGAAAAGAATATCAAGCAAACTGTTCTTTTATAAAATTTTAAGAACAAATTCACGTTTTCACTGCTGATTAATCTTGAATTTTCTTTCCAAGACAATGTCTACATTGTCCTTGACATAACTAAGAAAAGGCTCCCTTCATCCCAAGACTGAACATAAAGGCTTCAGCATGACTTTGCATTGCCCATGTCAGGCATCTTTTGAAACTGCTTATAACTCAAATTTTAAAACTTCCCATAAGTTGTACTTGCTTTTGTTACCACCAAACAACAGGTAGCATCTGTTCAATTTATACACACTATTAGAGCTGGTGACATCCTGCTAGAGTTGGTGACAGAACAAAAAACGCTAGAATTAGCAGCAGCGCAATATCCACGTTAATAACAGTAAAAGCAAAACTTTCAATATGGCTATAATATATATATATATATATATATATATATATATATACTAAATTTAAAATACTATAATTAAAAAAATTCCAAAAAGTTTTTTAAGTTACCTCCCTTGCATAGAGGTTAAAAAGAAATATTTTGAATTTACTGTGATAACACAACTATAGATATGCAATAAAAGGTCCCAAACTTAATAAAAACAAAGTTTCATCGTTAAAATGTTTATGTTATTAAAAGGAAAGAACAAAGTATTTTTTTTAATTTTTTCCTTCTTTCTAACATGTTCTAAATTTGGGTCAAAAATCTATTTTTTTTTTTTTGTTAACTTTGTAATACTTGTGGTAATGGCCATTTTAGTGTACCAGTTTCCAAGAGAAAACCCATTAATTTGGAAATTCTTGCAAAAATAATTGTCCGATTTTAATGAAACTTCCAGGACTTATTAAAAAATGAATTAATTTATTTTTGAAATTTTTATTTTTTAGAAAATCTTGGTAAAAATATTTCTTTTTCTTTTTTTTTTTAAAAAAAAAATCTTTTACCCCCCCCACTCCGTTAAATTAATTTTATGAAATTTTCTAGAATTTCAAAGTGTATGCAAATTGTTTTATATTATTTATAAGCAGGAACCCTTGGAGAAATTAAATCAATTTTTTTTTTTCACAACTACTGCCAACTTTTTAAAAATATGCTCCAAATCATAAACTAAAAACTGCAATAAACTATCTAATTATCAAATTAGATAGGCTTTTATTTGCTTTTATAAATAATATACATTAAGGACATTATTATCTGAAGAAAAAAATTTTTTTTCGATGAATAAAGAATTTTTACAAGAATTGTTTGCATTTTTCTTTTAATTTTTTTTATTTTTCTTTAATTTTAAAAAATGCTTTAAAATTCTTTCAAGCAGAGTTATTAAGTTTTTAAGTGAAGACTATATTTACTAAGCAAAAATTAAAAGCTTAAAACAAATAATGCTACCAAAACTTTTTACCACAATTAAAAATATATATATATATTTTTTTTTTTTTTAGTATGATATCTCATAAGTGACATTATGGTTAAAAGGTCACGTGTTTCAAAGATTGTCTTCTCCTTTGGGAAAGCCCTTTGACATGTAAAAGTATTATCTCACTCTCAGTTATTAGATTAAAAATTAAGTTGAGATAATAAAATTCTTATTTATCAAATTAAACAATAACTCGGTGAGATATTTTAATTATTAATATAATAATTTTATTAGTTATTATCTCAGTTATTAAATTAAAAATGTAATAACTTAATGTAATATTAATAATTAATAAAATTATTTATCATTATCTTAGCTATTAAATAATGAAAGAGATAGAGGTAACTCAATAATGTAAGAAATTTTTATAGTATCTTAAATTATTATAAGAAACAAAAAAAAAAAACTTATGTCACTTTTGATGCCCCATACTAAACCTGTCAACACATTCAGCCATCAAATTATCAATGGAGACGTGAAAATAAGACCCCAAGGTCAAGAAATGTTTGTCTAGAAAACTTTATGCTAAAGTAAGTGATATTTGTTTCAGAACAGATTAATTTAACTTTAAATTTGCTAATTTTATGAAAGTAATGTTTTAGAAATGTATAACTTATTTTAGTAGCATTTTCAAAACAGAAGAATAAGTTCATTTACATTTCTGTTAAAAAAAAAAAAAAAAAAAAGCTAAAAATGGCCGTTTCAGAAGCATCAACTAAAAATCATTCAAATTCTTATTTGAAATGCTCCACAGTATTTTTTTGTTCTGGAATTCGAAAATTTAATCCTTTAGCTTTCAATTGAAGTGGTGGAAAAGCTTCAAAAAGGATTTTTCCTTTATGAAAAAATACATTTAAACTTACGAATTTTTGGAGGTATATATATATATATATATATATATATATATATATACACACGAGGCATGTGTATGATAAAAAAAACAGACACACGCATGAAAAATTTTACGTATGTATAAATACATTTCTTCCACAGATGTTATAAATACAGTGCTCAATGTTAACAGAGCTATAAGTATATATTAGTGAATATATATAATATCCAATGTTGGTAGCATGACAGAGTTTCATGCAGTTGCAGCATGAAACTCCAAGTGAGTCATGCTACTGACATTGGAGATATATATATATATATATATGAGTATAGAGAGCATCATATTCAACTCAAATTTGCATACACATTATGTATTTGAGCTTATATTCTAACATGTACCAATTCAAGATAGGAAGTTTAAATAAGAATCTATTTAAAACATGAACAACAAGTTGTTTTTGGCAGAGTTTCTGATACAATATTCTCAAAAGTACTTAAATGTTTTTACTATATGCCTAAGATTCTTTTTTTACATTAATCATAAGAAAAATGCCCAATTTTCCAAGTCAATATGAATTTGAACAGATTTCAGAGTAATTCAGCAAATGCTTTCAAAGACAACAACACAATACTGTTCTTTGAAAAGAAGTGAAGTAGCCTTTCTACAATCATTACCAACACTTACCTATTGATAATTTCTGTGTGATCTGATGACCTGGATTCAATGCAAGTGTGAAGATAGTCTAAAAATACTGTCCAGATGTCCAGGCAGTTGAAGAACCCTTCATTCATCGGCTACAGCAAGACAAACAAAAATACATTTAAGGCTCCTTAAAGCAAGCAATAGGTTTCAAAATTTTAAACAATTTTCTTCAAATATAAACAGTTGTTTGAGCAAATTGGATATCCATGAGGAAACTAAAGCTTTTCTCACATTGGAAGCTATGCTATTTACAATGATTTTTTTTTTTTTTTTATAAAGTGAACGAATGTGATTCTGATGATCATCTATCAATATTCAAAGAACTAATGAATTCTTTCAATGTTGGACAACTTCTTGCCCTTGAGAAGTCATGCTATGGCAAGTAGAGTGGGGTTCAAATTGAAAAAAAGACTTTTTTTACCATCTAATTGCTAAACAAGCAAATAGCTTCCATTTTAAAGGGACCGGAAGTAGTGGAATGATTGAAAGACAACAAAAGATTTAAAAACTTTTTAAAAAAATTCATATGCCAAAAATATGATTTCAAAATTTAAATTATTATGAATTACTTGTAATTGCATGCATGAATCCCAGCATAAATAGTTATAAATAATTATTGATCGATTTTATCAGTGATATTTTTGCATTATATCAAGTATTAAGAGTATAATAACTAGGGTCCGCAAATTGGAGGAGAGAGTTATCAATCAATGTTGCAATTTAAAATTCACAGTTATCTCCCTTAACCCTTTCCATTTTTAAATGTACATTTTATCATATAAAAATTGATGATGTGAGCAAATTTTCATTCCAAAAATGTGGCTCAGAGAAAAAAAAAAGTCTGGGAACCACTGCAATGGATGTTCAAGACAAGGAGCCTCATTTATATCAACCACCAATAAATGATGGATGAAAGTTCAGGGTCTGCTCGATGGTGGTGGAAGGTTACTAGTTTGGTTTTAGCCATAGTGAATTTTAAAAGCCAGTCCTTTCCCATTGAGCTACCTGGGCTAGGTCAGAGAAGAGATGGGATTTTTGGAGGTGCAACTTTAAACTTTAATCTGCATAGATACTCGTTAATGAATACAACTAATTAACTGAAATGCTGTCACAGCAACACAAACAATGTCCAATAATCCAAGCAAATCTCAAAATAACATTTTTCAAAATTATATATAATTTTGAATAGTTTCTTTTTTTTTCATGTGACAGTCATCAAAAACTACTTTGTAGGATCTGTGTGTAAATGCATATATACAAATCAAGAGTTTGTTTTTTCATGCAACACTCACCTGCCTAAATGTATACTTGAACAAAAGGGCGAGGAACTCTAAGACTGGAAATTTAACATTCGACTCAAACCTTCTCAAGTGGATACTCACAAACAATCGAAGAAAGTCAGTGAACTTTTCCACATAACTGAAAAGAGAAGTTTTGTTCTTTGCTTTTAATTTGTTTTTTTTAAAAGAGGAATTTATAAGAACCAAAAAGGAAATGGGTTAAAATTTTACAAAAATGACATTAACAAAATGGCCTCAACAAAGTAACACAATGACTTGATTGAATTATTTTGTTTTTTTGGGGTTTTTTTGCTTTTTTTTTTTTACAGCTTATCAACCCTTTGTGGGTTATTTAAAGCAGAAAAATATTTTAGATTGTAATTCATTTTGTTGCGAATTAATATTGCATTAACAATTCTTTTGAGAATTACAATGATTTTTCCAGATATTAAATATTTTCCTACTATTTAAACCATAGATGGGAGGAGATAGATTCATACCTTTTCTCTAGAGTATTAATACATAAGTGAATGTAATAAACCCAAATGGTATTCAAACTCAGTTTTCCAATTTCTCGTTCTGAGCTACAGGTAGATAAGGTTTGATTGAGTGAGTGAATTGTTTTTTTTTTTTTTACAGCTTAGTAGGTTAATTTAAAGCTGAAATATTTTGTATTGCAATTTTGTATTCACAATTGAATACATCGTAGATGATACTCAGCTTTTGTGAATGTACATGTTTCAGAGAATATCATTACTAGAGGCGATGATATGTGTTTTATGTTGTAGTTTTTTTGAAGTTATATTTTGGAATAGAGTTTCATTAAAGAAATTGTAGGATATTACATGGATTAATGTCATGAAAGAGTTCTTCCATGATGGTCATTTGGTAGTATTTTAAACGAATTTGTGTATAGTTCTTGGTATGCCGTACAGATTGGAGGTGGCTCTTGTTTTATAATATAAGAATGTGTTATGGAATGTCTGATATGAAATCTGGATATTATTACAAGAATAATTCTTTTTTTTTTTGTATATAACAATTTTTGCAGATATAAGTCCTAATATTGGGGGGTGAGGAGATAGATTCATACCTTTCTAAGTGTATCTGAAAGTAAATGAATGCAATGAACCAGACTGGAATTCAAACTCTAACAACAATGAAAGCAACAATAATTATAAGTATTAAATGATAGGGTGGGGAGAAAAGAAGAAAGAAATTGAAAAAGGCTAGAATCGACCATACTTACCATTCATCAAGGTCAGTGAGTTTGTTCCCACCTGTATTTACCGTGCTCTCTTTGGTCAAGCGCTGAAGTAAGAAGAATGTTTGCTGAAACATTTGCAGCAAAAAGTCTTCAAATTCTTGGGGAACACAATTCTTGGAAAGCAATTCATTAATACAGTTCATTGCCAAAACACCAAGGGACTGGGTGTTGCTGCCCCCATGGTGCCCACCCCCAACACCGCTGCTCAGGTTGCCAGTGCCTGCCCCTCCTCCCCCAGTGCCCCCGCTGCCACCACCACTGCACCGATATCCGCTACGCACCTCACAGCCAAAGGCGGCAAAATGGAAGATTGTACTAAGCAGGTTGGGAGTAATAGTGTTAGAGAGTGGGACCCAACTGAAGTAGTGGGCCAGGCAGCTGAGGGCCAGCTCACACAGCTGGGCCGAGTCGTTGTCCAATGGGGGAAGGGCCTCTAGTTGTACTCCACGGTTGCTACCAGAAGGACACTTGAACATGTTGCTCAACAGACTGTCTGAAACAGGAAACAAAGTTCAGGTCATGAAAGGTTTCTATGTGTCAGGGGCAAATATTCATTCAAAGTCAGTAAAACTGAAAATTGATTCGTTTAAATGGCACATCAACAATTTATGGGTCATTTAATGTTGAAATTTAATTTTCTTGGGAGCTTTGAAATATGTTATTCTGCTTTCACAATTGAATACATGGTAGATGATACTCAGCTTTTGTGCATGTATATGTTTGTGTGGACATAATTACTAGAGACAGTGATATGTTTTATGTTGTAGTTTCATTTTGGAATACAGTTTGATTTCTTTAAGAAATTGTAGGGTATTATATGGATTAATGTCATGAAAGTGTTCTTCCATGATGGTCATTTGGTAGTATTTTAAACAAAATTATCTGTTTTATTATTTCTTGGCATATCGTACAGATTGGAGGTGGCTTTTGTTCCAGAATATAAGAATGTTATCATAGAATGTCCGATATGAAGTCTGGACAATATTATTACTTCATCTCTCCTCCTCGTTTTTAGTTTTTGATGCCATTCTTATAGAATTACCTTTAATGTTGTATAAGCTGTTATTTGGGTAGCTTGTTTAATTTCCGTTTCTATTCACTATGCGCAATATTGTCATTGATGATTATCGATGTGCCACCTGATGGTATCATTACGTTTGTTTATATAGTTGTCTGTTGTGTAATATTTAACATTAAATATATCTGTTTCATTCAGATGGGTTTCCTGTTGACGTATTATTGCTCGGCTGTAGGTTGTAGTCAGTTATATTAATTCATTAAAATTAACTTTAGCACCTCTTATATTCCATTTTATTATTGTGTTTGTCATTATTCATTATTTTCAATTGTTTAGGGGATTTAATTTCATGGTTATAAATGGCTTGATAATTTATTGTATAGGAATTTATGTTTTGGTTTTTTTTTTAGTTTTGTTTTTGGTGGTGCAAGGACTTTCTTCTATTTCTATTTTGTCTAAAGAATCAAATTGATTTTTTTATTTCAATTTGATTTGGGATTTTGGAGCGTGTTTCTATTGCTGTATGTTTTGATTCTTTAGGGGAATCTTTCTCTCTCTTGAGATCTCCTGGATAATAGGTATTCTGTCGAGTTTCGATGGTAGGAGCAGATTGGAGATCTTTCCAATGTCTGTTTGATAACATTAATCTTTAAGGGGGATTTTTTGGTATCATTAGATGGACTTCTGACAAGTAATTGTTCTTTTATATTAGTTTAACTTTTATTGTTCAAATTAGGTTTAATTTCTTGTATAAATCCAAGCCAATCATCTAGACTGAGTTGCAGCAATTTTTTTCATCAGACTTGCATATTTATCATTATTAATATTAGTATTTTTTTTGATCTGTGAGTTGGTCTTTTTTTTTTTTTTTTTTTTTTTTAATATAAGCTTCCAGTTTTCACTGCTTCCTGATAAATGTTTCTGGTCATAATCTCTTTTTCCTTTCTCCATATCTCACATAATCTGGCACATACTGAGTGCTTTTCACTTCAGTTAGAGCATTTGCACACGTCCTTGTATTCATTTGTCATGTGGTCTGGCTCTTGTTGACCACATTTGTTGCACATGATTTTTCCATGCAGGAGATTCCCAAGTTGTCTGAAGGTTGTGATTGAAGCCAATGGTGATTTTTTTTTTTTTTTTTTTTTAAATAAATTTACTCTTTAGTATTTCAAGAAATTTATTGTGTAATTTTGGTAAATATATCTATTAAAATGTCAGTGTTATTTTTATTTTTGCAGCATTTAGACGACAATTTATCCATCGCACACTGTGTGTGTGTGTGTGTGTGTGTGTGTATACGCAGAAGACTAAATGTAGCATGCAAGCAGTTGTGAGAGTCAACAAGAGGAGACGAGTGAAGGCCAAAAGTTGACTTGATTGACTGACCTGATTGCAATGGAGAAGAGGAAAAGAGCATAAGGGAAGAAGCCCGCTGACGTGTACCAGAGTCACCCTGAGTAGGTGAGGGTGGGGGCGTAGCAGCTACCAAGTGCCAGTGCTTCTCCAAGACTGATTCTAAAATATCTAGAAAATAAATTTTAAATAAAATTAGTAACAGAGCGAAAAGTATCAGATTTTATAAAAATTGCTGAGATAGTGAATGTAAACTATTTTTCAAATATTTTAAATTCACATAATTTTTATTATTTTACATTAACAAAAGGTTTCAGTACAGAGAAGAGGAAGAAGAGGAAGAGAGAGAGAGAGAGAGAGAGGAAGAGAACGAGATACTTTTTCAGACAGGTTCTCAATGTTCAATATGAAAAATGTGTTGCTCACATACAATGAAGACTTATTTTCTCTCCTTTTCCAAATTTATGAAAACTTAAAAACTAATTTGAAAATGCTAAAAATATAAAAAAAAAAAAAACGTTGCAAAAGATCTACTCACTATTCAAAAGATTTAACACAGTTGGAACCTGGGTAAGGAGAAGCCGGTGTAGTTCTTCTTTGCGTACCATACTAAGGTCCTCCCGGGGAGCAGTTAGTTCCTCTGAGGTTGTTTGCAGCAGTATCACACCTAAAGCTGTCGTTTCAGATTCCTGTACAAGCTGCAAAGACAACACATGAGGAAATTGGTTCATTATATGGAGAAAGAGCTGCAGGAAATAAAGGAAGGGTCAACCTAAACAAAGAGGATTGGGACACAGATGCGATTAGGTAAGGCAAGGAATGGAGAAGCATCTGAAGCAAGCAGGGGGGGTTTATGATTTAAAGACCAAAGATGTTGGACTTGAACAATCAAGAGAACCTTTTCCTTCTTATCAATACTGACTTGCAATGAAAATCAACATTAGTGATTGACAGATAATTGATAATTCATCAAATTGCCAATAAATAAGTCATTAGCTTTGGGGTGGGGGCAATTCATCAGTCTTTATACTCGTTCAGCCTTATTTATTACATCACAGAAATGACATTACTGGCTTAAGAATCATCAATTATGTTAGACATAAAATGAATTTAAATAAGATTATGACAATTTCAGCAAATTTTTTTGGGGGGGAGAGGTCAACCAATTAAATGTTTCAACCCAGATGGAAGAAATGTTAGTCAAAACGACCAGAGATTGACAATGCTCCATCTATTAAAAAAAAAAACTTCAAGATACTATCAATATAATAGTAAAATTCTGATTTCATATGCCAGTATTTAACCTCTAATTAACCAAAACAGTACATTTTAATCAGGGATACTGATTTACAATACACTTAAAAATTCTAAGTAAAATGAATACAATAAATATTTGATTAATTTGCTGATGAATTATTGTGGTCAGCATTCTGACAGAATGGAAAAAAGATTTTCTCAAAGAGGTAGCAATTAAATACTATCCCTTATTTAATGACTTTGCATATGGATAAAAAAATTTGGGTAATATATATATATATATATATATATATAAAACAGACTGTCCTGCCAATTTTAAGCCAACAAACTCACTCAGTGACACCTCAGTCCCACTAGTACTTGCATACATATTGTGCCACAGGCTGGTTTCAATTCAGAGTTTTCCTTCTCATAGACCAGTTGCTACCCAAGGCTATAGAGCCCAGTCTGTCCTGCTATTTACCCATAGCTGGGAGGTGGTGTATAGAAACTGGAAGTAAGTTATTCTAGCGTTTCAAAAAATACATGCAACCCTGAGCCTCTTTGCTACCCTGCAGTAGTTTACTACTAGTGTGTATATATATATATATATATATATATATATATATATATATATATATATATATATATATATACACACACACATTCCTGCAAAGGAACAAATTCAAGGAATCTTTTTATTTTCTTTTAGTTTCCACTTGGATGGTGATCTTATCTCTCGTTGCTAAGATTAAAAACTATCAGAGTGACATTCTAAAGAGTTAAAGTGAAAAACAACTGACGTTGCAATGAAAGAAAATAAAAGCAAGCAAATCTGTTTTGTAAGGAAGTGTTTTAATCAAAAGACAGTTGACTAATGAATCGTAACAGACCAAGCGTCATAGCTAAGTGAATAAAGCATGCAAATCAAACTATTATACCTTAATTTATTATTGACAAATAGATGTAAACATATGTCTATATTTCTGAGATGAGGTATTATGTACCCTATTTACATTATTCAGACTATTGTCCTCAAGGACACATGGCACAGCGGATAAAGGCGTTGGTTAGATCCAGTGACAGGACCCAAAAGAGTGTGAATTCAATACCCGGTTAAGGCAGTGGAGAACTTTCAGAGGGGAATTAACAGGAGATAACTGATAACTGACATCCATGGAATATGGAACTAGAACAGTCTACCCCAGTGAGCGAAATAAAGGTATGGTCATTTAAGAGTCAGTTTTTAATTTTGGGATCACACTTTTTTAATGTAGTTTATTTGTTTTGAAGTTGGTGCACATGTTAGAATGGTTGGATGCATTAGATTGGTTGTACACATTTTTATTTTAATTAGATTTTGTTGTATAGTCCTATTTTCTTTAAATATGTCATTAAATGATCTATCTTGGTGTGTTCAAATAGTTCTTTCTTATTGCATTTTCTTTTTTTTTTTTTAAAATAATTCTTTGTACTTTCAGGGAGTTGATTTGAAATGAGGAGTATTAGTTCATCAAAGTTAGCTTTTATACCTCTTATGTTCCATTGGATTATTTTATTTGCCGTATTTCTAGATTTTTGGTGATTTGTTCTTCAATGCCCAGTCATCTGTATCCATTGTTTCCAGAGATTCATATCTGTTTTCAGTTGAATTTCTTGTTTTTGAAGTAGAGCGTGGTCTATCCATCTTGGGTTTTTGTTTGTCTGGAGGGAATTTTTTTTTTTCTTTATGTGCTGGATTTGAAGTTTTTCCAGTCGTTTTTTTTTGCATAGGTGTTGTTTCTGAAGGGTTTGCATTTTGGGGTTGTGTTTGGGGTTTTAAAGTAGCCGAGTTTTTATTTTCGGATATTTGTGGGTTGGTTTCAGGTTTTGTTTTATTTATGTTTTTTAATTCTTTCATCAGTTCCCTCATCTCTTTGAGTAATTTTGTGATGTCTTCCATTTTAATGTCCTTTTCACAGCTTCGTTTATTATTTTCAAGGGTATTTTTTTTTTTTTTTTTTTTTTGCTACTTCTGCATATTTTGTGGTTTCTACCATTTGTCTTGCTTCCAGGTAGGTTACGTTTTTTGTATATTTCAAACGAATTATTTCTTTTTCTTTCTTCCATGTTTCACAGTTTCTGGAATTGGCATGATGGTTTCCCTGGCAATTGATGCACTTATAATTTTTTTGGCAGTCTATGTGTATGTCTTGTTCTCCACATCTCCCACATACCGGTAGACGTGTACAACGGTCCTGGTGGTGTCCATGTCTTTGGCATTTAAAACATTTCAAGGGGTACGGGTACTTTTCCTATATTATAGCCAATTTTTAGTTCCTTTGGTGTGATGGGTGTATTGAAGGTCATGATGTAAATATTTGTTTCTTATATTTTTCCTTCCATTTTAGTTGTGATTCTCTTCACTTCTGTTACTCCCTGGTTTTTTAATTCTTTTTTTATTTCTTCTATTGAACAAAGTTAATTCTCTATTGCGTATCACACCTTTAGAAAAATTTAACCTTTCATGAGGGTAGGCTTTAACTTTCAGATTATGAAACTGATTCATTTTTAGTAGAAAGTTTGCATATTTTTGGTTTTCTATTTCAACAAGTAATGTTCCATTTCTCAGTTTTTTAACTGTTTTGGCAGTGATGTTTTGGGTTATTACTTTTTGAATCAGGAAAGGTGACAGTGTACTTAGGGAAGTTTTCTCAATTGATTCTAATACAATAAATCGGGGAAATGTTTCCTTAAAATAGTTTTCATCCTTGGAGTCTAAATCCTTATGTAGTCTCTTGGAGTTTTTTTTGGTAGCCATTTATTGTTTTAATTTTCTTCATTATCCATGCTCCCCACCCACCTCAGAGTCCAGTGTTGGGTAACAGCCAGGGGGGAAACCCATTCGCCCTGGCACTACAGGGCTACATGGACAGTATACTCATATATGGGAAAGGTCTCAAGCACCCGTATGTCTTTAGTTTCACTGGCCAAGTCCAGAGGCACTTCAGGTAGTATACAGCCATGTCGTGATCTTTTGTTCCCACACTGATTGACCTTAAGCCACCACTTTCCATCACATTTTAGGGGTAAGGTGTTAGTATAGTTAGTGTAGGGTTTGGGACTGGGAAAGTTAATTGTAAGTTGTAGTTGTTTTGGGATGGGTTAGATGTGACGGGGCATGATACGACCAGCCGATTGATCAGATCAGGCCTCTCCGACCGCCCGTCTAGCCCAGGTAAGGGCCGAAGTGGTGTGTTGCAGGGTCGTGATCACTTTATACCTGGGTCATAACTTGCTCAACCACCAGGATCCCGTCCCCAGGCATCACGGGTCACCACCCACAGCCAACAGGTGGCCCCATTGAGAGACTTTTACCCTCTGCAGGGGGGGGGGGCGTATTCTGAGGCCCCGCCAACAGGGTGCGAAATAAAGGGTCCAGTTCGACATTCCAACTACCTGAAGAAGGCAGGAGCGTACAACGGCTACAACACTGTAATAAATATGGCGACAAAGATGAGGACAATAGTCCGAATAATGTAAATAATGAAGATGTAAACATGGCCAGTAGATTACTGGTGGTTTACTAGTACATGAGAAACCTGAGGGAATGCCTGGCAGACATTGAATTCCTCACTTTTCCTAACTCCACTTACTAAAGAGTTCTGATCGGGGGGGGGTGAGAGCATAGCTTGGTTCCCCATCTAGAAAGTGAGTTAATTCCCTTGGTTATTGACCTACTGTCCTAATACTAAGCCTGAATTTCAAGTGAAATGCAATGACAACAGAAAAGCACTTACCTGTAATATACTAGAAAAGAAATCAGGATAGAAATGTGGCCAATCTGAACGTCCAATATCAACAACCAGTTTGACCAATTTGTTGCGGATAAATGAGGGTACTTTGTTATGGTGAGCGTACAAGTATTGATTGAGGGTCGATCGAATGTCCATCTTATCCGTACCACTATAGCCCATCCATTGTTTATTGATCACATTCTGGAAACAAATTACAATTAGTAATTATTTTGGTTAATAAACATAATAAATCTAGACTTCAAGTCATATGTCAGAACTCTTCTTTCAGAATGAAAAGAATTTTTGAAGTCATTCTAATTTCATTCAATTACCAAAACATCTGAACACATTTTTTGCAATTTCACTCCATAGCTTTGCAGTATCCATTTTCCCTTTTTTAACTTATATAAGTTAATAAATTCATTAATGTTCCAATGACTAACAAAGTTAGATATAATTTAAATAATCAAAATAATTATCAGCCACTTGGATGTTGGTGCCTGCAAAGAAAAAAGAAAAAAGTGTGTCAAAAGGACAGGTTTTCCATTGACATTGCTATCATGTTAACTACCTTCATTCCTTGGCAATTTTTATTGTTTTAAAAAGAGATGATTATAATTTTAATAAAACCTGAACATATGATAAAAAATGAATATATATATATATATATATATATATATATATAGTTCTTGAGAATTGACAACAAATATATTAAACATTTATTTATTTGATTATTTACAAGAGTCTAAAAAATAATGCAGTATTTATCATTTACCAATTTATAAAGAAATATCAAAATAATTTTTTTATTTATAAATTTATAAATATTTACTAAATTATTAAAATATGCAAACTGTAAGGAAATCATTTACCATTTTTTTTAAAAGTTAGCCAATATTTTGCCAACCATTTCGATAAAAAGTTTAATATTTTTGTTAAAAATTCTCAAGAACAAAGAAAATGTAGAAATTCACTTTCATCATGTTTAGATTTTATTCCAATTCTAATCATCGCTTCTTAAACATTGCCAAGGAATGAAGGTAGTTAAAATAGTATTGTCAAGGGAAAAAACCATCCATTGGACACATTTTTTGCAGGCATGAAGATCCAAATTTGTCTAAATAATCAATAACTATACTACTAGTATTTATTTAGACTATTAGATTAGTATAATAAAACCCCATATCAAATAAGCTATCTATTCTTATTAGAATTAGTCACAATAAGTTAAAATTCACAAATTTATCATATCAGTATATAAGGAGGATGTTGTCAACACTAGTTGTGACTAATTTTATTATAAAAACATAGTAAAAAAGTATCATAGAATCTAACCAAATCTAAATGTATGTATTTAATTTTCAATGTTTGTCCTTACTACCTTTCATTATTCCTGTTCTTAAAGAATGCCTCACTTTCTGAATATTTGTTTACAATGTAGAGCAAAAAAACAATTTTTAACAAATTTCATATAACGAATCTCCGAGGAACAGCTTTCTCAACAAAGACAATGCAATTAGAACAAATTTAATACCCGAGTAAAATAAAAAAAAAAACAGTCTACATAAAAAGAAAAATCTGCTCTGATCACTGTCATGATTGACAACAGATATAGCTGTCAAGTCACTGCTATAACATTTGTGAACAATATCTATACTAATTTATCCAATTTCTTTTGTATTTGGAGCTATTAAGTAACAGTAAACAAGGTTATAGCCTCATGCCAAGGCTCTTGATTTCAAAGTCCCTACCATTTGCTGCAATTCACTCTGACCAAAAGAGAATACTTTACAATCCAAAGATCTAAATGAGTCCTCATTAAAAACACTAAAAAGCGTCCATGATGTTTTTTGGGGGGTGGGGCGACCTTTCAACTGTTGTGATGAGGGCATCTTCAACTGACTCACCTCAAGTACAGTAAGACAGAACATCATGACATATTCATTTTGGGTATTGGCCATAAAAAATAAACAATGTTTCCAAGAGTCTTGAGTCTGGCTGAAATTGTTCAGGAGTTCCTCTGAAGAAAAAAAAAAAAATAATTCAGTTAGCAAATTAAATGAACTTTCAATCAACATTCATTTTGGAGAACAATAATTGCCACACCCTGAACACATTTATACAATAAAAGGAAGAAGAAAAAAAGAGGGGGGAGAGAGACACAAAGAAGAGAAACAAAACACATCGAAGAGGGGGAGGGGAGAGAGAGAGACACGTTGAAGTGAGAGAGAGTGACCTTTTTTTTTTTTTTAAAAACTAAAATTACTACTCAAACAGTATACAGGTGTATATACAATAACACTGTTTAGAACCTTCCCTACTACCAGCTTCATGGACAGGTGAATTATTTACTAAAAAATAAGTAAATGTCTGCATAAAAGAAACAAAATATATTTGTGGCTCTTTTATAAAAGAAAAAAAAAAAAAAAAAAAAGAATTCTTAAAAATAATAATTTCCAATAATGTTGCAACTTACCAATTTCTCTTTTCCTTCCATTTGTGGTGGTGCCAGCAAAGAACTCTGTCATCAGAGCTTCTAAAGCTCGCAAAGATGCTTCGTCTGATGACTGCAAACAAGACCAAAGCAAAAGCATTAATAGAAATCATATCATTCATATTTGGCAGTTTGTATTTAAAATATGCTTACTTTTCACACTCATCCCCGATGCACCATTGTGTAACACCATCTTTTCAACGTCACAGAAAGTAAGTAAAGGCTACAACAAAATTTTTACCGATACCAATTCAATGTTATTTTTCCTTAGAAACACTAGAAGAAAATATCATTAAAATGCCACCCCCCTGCATGTCCGCCTCAAAGAACAGAATTTATTCAAACTAAAATGCTGTATTTTGTTTGAGTGGCCCTCCTGACACCTTACAGCAGTCTGAAGAGATGTTGTTACCCAGGTTATACTACTTATCTCTTATCTAATAGATATTTATTTGCAGCAATGTCTATCTGCAAACCTCAAATTTTCTACATTCTTTCTTATAGTACACTATAAGCACCTTTATTAGCTATGAAATGGTTTATCTCAAGACAACCTGACACTTTCTTAATAGAACAGGTGCAGCACCGATTTCCCAGAAACTGACAGGTTGCTACCTCTTTTAATCCAAACAAAATTATGAGCAAGCATTGGAATTTCAGAACAATTGACAGACTAATTCACCAGGTGATCGCAGATGGGATTTCATAGCTTGACAAAGATGATTTTTTTTTTCCCTAACTTCTCTCTTGATAAGTACAGAGAACAGCAAGGTACCTCAAACTGATTATCAGAGCAGCACTGGAGTCATCCAGAATCTTCTTTACAATTCTGTGATCATTTTTGCAATTTTCAATATTCTTTTACCTTTCACAAACTCCGAAATTATTAAAATATTTTTTTATCCAGTGCATCAGCCATGGATATAACATGTAACTTGAAGTGAAGACAATGACATAATCAAGATGTCGACATCCCACACTGCTTCAAACAAAAGGTTTAAGAAGGAAATCGCCCATCAATACTGGAAAGAGTGATAACAGCTACTGGACTTGAGAAACCTGTTTTCTTAAAAAATGTTTTAAGATTTAATTGATTTGTTTTTTTACAGTTTATCAAACTTTTGCAGATTATTTAAAGCCAGAAAAAATTTTTCAATAGTAATAATATTTTTGGGTGATATTGATTTAATGATACAAGTCCTACAAATTAACCCATAGTTGGACGAGAAGAGGTGGATTCATACTTTTCCCAAAGGTACTGGTGCGTAAGTGAATATAACAAACCCAACTGGAATATGGCTCTCCAATCTCCAAATCATTACCCATTACACCACCCACACATCCATGCTTACACCACTTGGTATTCCCAAGCAGTCACCCATCTAGGTACAGACCAGTACTTGCTTAACTTCAGTGATCATACGAGAACCAGTGTTTCAGGGTGATATGGCCATAATGCAACAGACGAAACATCATTAATATGGCAATAAAGATGAGGACAACAGTCCAAATGATGTAAAAAGTGTAAATAGTTACAATACTCAGGCAGAGGTTAGTTGTGTTGAATTTTGATACTTTAAGAGGGGAATGCAGCATTTTTAAATCAGAGCCTTTTTTAAATTCAACACAAATCTCATTAGTCAGTTACAGGTTTGGTTTGGTTTACGGCATATCAACACCTCAATGGGTTATTTAATGCTGACAAAATTTTTATTGCTGGTAATATTTTGTTTTGTCAAAAATCTTTTTCTGGTAATAATTTTTTCCTTCAAAATTGTATTGCTGGTAATATTTTTTTTTTCGAATATGTATTGCTGATAATAATTTTTTACAAAGTATTTCTGATATTAAAACCTATTTTTACACATTCATAGTGTTTTGACCCCAGTTTCAGGGATAACTATTTGCCCATAGCTGGGATTGCTACCACCCTGGGTAAGGGTGGACCTGGGAACACCAACAATTAAGAGGTGGTTCCACGCTCCTCAAAACCTCCTGATCAGAGGCCTTGCTGCTGGACGTAGTTTATCGTCTTACCCAGGACGCAGTCAGTTACAGGATTTATTACATTTTCCAAGACACTTGTTATGTATGCTTGCATTTAGGATCAATTTCATTAACCTTTTTTAAAGAGGGATGTCCAAATTGCTTATGCAATTTATTCATCTTTCTTCTTTTGAAGCTAACAACTCAACATGGGAGAACGCATTTTCAGTAATTCAAGACTATTTGTAATCCATGACAAAGTCAATATAGTCTTGAAGTCATTTATCACACACTGTAGTGGAATAACTAGTATCTACCATTATGCACTACTTAACTTCATCAGGGAGGGCAATGTAATTTTTTAATTTTTTTTTTTTTTTTTAAATTATATTTTCTTTGGTTGCATATCAGATGAATTATGACAGCTGCACATATTCTAAACTTTCATTTCTTATCATGCTCAATTTTTTTTTTTCCTCATAGGCAGGACTATAATCCCAATCTTACAAACCACAAATTATACATCTAGATATATGTCCATCATAATTAAGAGGGTTTAATCTTCTATTTATTTTTGGTCTTTTTCAAATTTTGGATTTACTTTTCAGTTTTGATCATCATATTTATAGCTGTGCATGTAATGTAAGAAAGAGGAATCCGAAAGCTGATTTCAAATTCTAGGCTTTGTCTTGTATTCACTTTCCCCCTTGGGAAAAACATGAATCTGTCTCAACAGAACAGCTATGGGTCAACCTTTAGTACTCTGCATTATTAATATTCTTTCTCTTTCCACTGCATTCTTTTTCAAGGCTTCACAATTGCAGTATCCTTATTGTTAATTTTACTCAAAGTTGTTTTCTGTTGACATAGCAGGATATAACAACACAACTATGAAATTCAAACACACTTTTGTTCAGGGATCAGAGTCACTTTCAGTGGTGATATAAACTTTTTGTGCAGTAAATGAAGTCACATACAGAGTAATAAAGGTTAACAGCAGGGTAAACTGGACTCTCTAGCCTTGGAGAGAGTAACCATTCTAAGAGAAAAGTAACACAAAAACTTTCCTGATGTCTTCAATTCCCAACTCTATATCTATGCTGATGACAACTATTTAATCCTGTCTTAATCTTCTGATCAGTTTAATAAAGTAAAATTAGCAGCTGATCTTGAAAATGACCTACAATTTGTTATGAACTGGAGCATGAAGTGGCTTGTTAAATTTAACGCCTCTAAAACAAAACTGCTATTAATCCTCTTAAATATTTTTCACCTTCTATCAATTGATGACAACCTCCAGGAGAGTGACTCACTGCACTTTCTTGGTTTCATGTTTACTGTTGACATGAAGTGAATAGATTATATTGAATCAATTGCTAAATTTGTTGCTAGGAAAATTGGTTCACCATGTCATTGTGCTGTCATGGAGAGAGTGGCTCTGAATGAGAAATCAGAGAGCCGAGTTCAAATTCCAGTTGGGTCTGTTACATTTACTTACACGCAAATACCCTTGGAAAAGGTATGGATACACCACTTCTCCCTCCAGCCATGGGTTGAATAGCAGGACAGACTGTGTTCTATAGGCTTGGGTGGCAACTAATCGACCGCAGAACAGCAACCTACTGCAAAAAAATCTGCCTAGTCAGTCACTGAAAGAGACATGATTGACCAAGCATGTATCATGTATAGCTAGGCAATTTTTCTCGCCAGAATCTATGTTGTACATTGGTTAGACTACTATTCATCTGTGCATCAAAACTTGTTGCAACATCTAGTCTCGTGATTCTGCATTATTATCAATCACGACCTGGCATCTCAGCCTCAGTCATTCACCCAACCACTGTAACATAGCTTCCCTGTGCCTTTTCTATAAATATTTCCATGGTAATTGTTCTGATAAACTTTCCTCTTTGATGCCTCAACTTTATGAATTTCAGCACAGTGTCTCCTCAATTTACAATTGAAATTGATGAATGTAACCTTAAGTTTGATGCTAACAGTTTCTTTTCTCACACTTCTCACTTGTGGAACTCTGTTCTGGCTTCTTGCTTCCCAGTCAACTTTGGTCTTCAAAAATTTAAATGCAATGTCAATAGTTATGTTCTGTCTTCTTAATTCTTCTTTTATTCTCTCTTAATGTTTTTCTTTTTCTCATATTCTTTCATACTCAGCAACCCCTCCCCCTTTGCGTCTTAGTGGCTTTATTGCCTTGCTTCGAAAGAAACAATTAAAATTTAAATGCAATATCAATCGTTATCTTCTGTCTTCTTAATTCCTCTTTTATTATTCTTGCCCCTTAGTAGCATTTTCTTTTTTCTTATATTAATTCACACTAAGTAACCCTTTGCATTTTAATGGCTTTATTGCGTTACTTGGGGTGAATTTTTTTTACAAAAAAAAAAAAAAAAAAGACAGAAGCAAGCCATGTCATGGTGGTTGTAAAGTGACTGAAGTCGAGATGCCAAACCAGGACCAATAAAATTACAGACCATTCTTTGAATTTTTTCAAGAATCAAACAATATATAGTTGGAGCATCAGACCAAATAAGGCAGCAATATTCAATGCACGGATGAATGGTAGATTAGTTATCTTCCGTTTTCTTAATTCCTGTTCTTTTATTGTTCTCTCTCCTTAATGTCTTTTCTAATTCTTTCACAGTCCTTAACCACTTGTGTCTTACTGGCTTTATTGCCTTGCTTAGTGTGAAATGATAAAAAAAATCTTGGTCAGGCCAAGAACTTTTTAGCACTTCTTGTACTATGACCAATCACTTAAAAACATTTTTTAAAAATTAAAATCAGCAACTTTTAATCATCTTAGGAAATGCATAAATCCAACTTTCCTGTCATTTGTTGATTCACTATTTTTATGTGGACTATGATCTTGGCACAGCAAGGAATGCCACGATGATAGACAGTTCACTCGGGTCAGGAGATTCTTCTTGTCTATTATTGTACAATGTCAACCAGTAATTATCTCCCCTTGCCCCTATTGAAATGCCAGGAAGAACAAAATGTCCAACCCTAACAGCCATCATTGTTCTCCAACCATGAAGCCTAACTATCAAAAACAGGAACAAAGTAGTCAACATTACTGACTTTTATTTAGAAATTAGGAGATAATTTATGAAACAAAAAATAAGGAATAATCCGTAGCTGAAAATTAAGTGCGTAAGTTTCCAATTACCCGCATTTTAAAGAAAAATAAAAAAAATGCTGTGAACTTTGCACATTCCTAACATATACAGGAAAAGCTTTATAACAATAGTTGTACAGATTAATGTTTTTTTGTTTTTTTTCTTAGTGATTGTAGGTATTGTATGAATGTTTCAAATAAGACATTTACCAGTTCTTGCTTAGTTTTAATGTTGAAGTTTTTGGAGGCTTTTTTTACTGATTAACTTCAAGGATCAAATCAACAATAAAACAAAGCTGATGACAACCACATTAGAGAAATTGTTTATTAGCTTCTGCAATATCTCTGCTTGTAATCTTTAAAATAGAAATAGTTAAATCAAACTCGGTATGTACCCAAATTAAACTATAGCAAACAAACACACAAATCATCAGGCAGTCAAATATTTCTTGTCACTAAAGTGACAGGATCAATTTTTTTTTTTTTTATTTTTTAAATCAGGTCTCTTCACTTTTGTTGTTTATTTAAAACATTTTTAGCCCAACTATTCTTGAGCCTTCAGTTTAAAATATGATACTTCCCAAAAATAGTCTTCATTTGGAATGAGTGTTAACCTGAATACAGAAACCTCATCTGAAGATAATTCTGTCTCAATTTGAAAGCTCAAGAATAGACCAGTCAAAAACAAGGTTACAAAATAAATAAAAAAATTAAAAATATAAATAAAATCATGTGGAATACATTTCTTTATTCTAAGATTTGTTCAGGCAACTTCTTTGTGTTGTTGATATTACAATGACATTTCAGCCAATCCATTCTACAGGCTTCTTCAAATTTATGAGATGCTGAAAAGCTCTCAGTTCAATCAACAAGCCCTTCCAAAAAAGAAAAATCTGATTTCTGGTCATTTGGTCAGATTTGGAAAGTGGATTAGACCAAGAACATTCAGCCCTCCTATGTAATTTTTGCATAATCTGTGTGGAAAGAGGAAGGTTTCATTTTACAGAATAAGATGACAAACTGAACATTAACACATTCACATGGATTAGTCCATTAAAGCAATGCAAGATATTATAAAAGAAGACACTTTTTACTACCACCCACCTAGCTCATACACAACTCTGGTTTGAAAACCTCAATTAGACACATAAAGAAGGCCATAGAATAGAGTAGTTAAAACATTGTGGTAACATTAAATACTGATATAGTCGGACTAGTGTCCTCATCTTTGTTGTTATAATTAGATTTCTTCAGAACAAGAATCAGAAAATTGCAAATATTTTTATAACCGAAGCATGTCTAAAAAGATTCAGATTTTCAGTCATACAACATC